ACGAGATGGTTAATAATAAAAGATTAGATTTTTTTGCATGGAGAATTAAGCTCATAGCAGAAAGTGATCAGCCTAGTTTTGCACTCCTTATCTCAAGTGTTCTCCCGCACTTTGGAGCCGAAGGATTCTACGAGTTTCAGCTAATACCAATAATGCCAACCTAAATAGGATATCTATTATATACTCTATCAACAAACTGGGATGTGCGCCTATGCATAAGCAACTGAACATGTAGAACCAGTTGATTTTTGAAGTCCTAGCGAACGAAAACCTGGTTTTAGCTCAATGGGCTTTACTATGCAGTACATTCTGACTACCAATTTTGAATGTGATGCCTAGAAAAATTATAAATACGTTAACGGAATTACAATAACCTTTTTAAATTAGAAAATTAAATAAAAAAGCAATGGTTAAATACGCAAATTAAATGATTGATACATAGCAGGAACAGACAAAAATTGACGACCGTATCACTCAATGAATTTTGAACGTCGTTTTCACAAACATCTTACGGCGATAGTATCAATTTCTCGGTTTCATATGAATAAGCATTGCTCAAAGTTTGTTTGTTTACTATTCAAACACTAATAATTTGATTAGGAAACAGCCTCAGAACAGAGTTTACAGAAAGGATGGCTTTACTTATAACAGGGATATTTTGCGCGATACTGCTCTTCACTACCCACTGTCTCCGTGTAGTGACACGGAACAGATTGAGAAATATACCAGACAGCTGAATTACGATGGTGAATTCAGGGCCTTTAGGAACCAAGAAGATGATGGATTCCAATATACTAACTTTCCCGGTATGATTATTACCATTAAGAAAGATGAACATATTGTTTAAGAAACACCTGACCCAGAGTTTATTGTCGATCATCGTTGCCCTAAGCCAGAAAAAACTTATCGTCTTTCACTGAATAACGTTTGTTGTCCTTAAAAGTTAAGTGTGAATATTGGATCCTTTTAGCTTGATCGCACAATACGTGTGGAGATTATTCGAAAAAGACATGCAATTAAAACACTTTTCAAAAACTTAGCAACAAGAAGTGACCACCGTCTTTCGAAGTAATGGCAACAATTCCTTTAAAAAGCAATTTTAGAGCCGCCCTAATGAAGGTGATTTACACTTTATGTCCAGATGTAACTGTCGAATTATATCATCGGCTTCTTGAAAGGCAAGTAATTTTCCGAATCTTCACGAATAATATATTCCTATAACTGCTGTAAAAATAACTAAAGGAAATAAGAGTTTATTTTTACTATTTAAAGGTTGCTTTATTTCAAGTTATTTTGAGAAAACTAATAATTCACTTACTTTAGACTGAGTTAAGTGAATTATTGAACCTTACGCGCTTGACAAAATCCAGGTCAAAATATTTATTTCTTGGCATCATTTGCAAGCCAATGTTAAGTGTTTTACTTTGTATTCTCGACAAATGTCCGGGTTAAGTATAGGATTTTCAGTTTTCTGCGATAAGAAATTTGAAATCCTTAAATAATCCCGAGGTTTGTATGCCTGGTTCCTCTTTAATGTATTCCTCATAAAAAAGATTACTGTCCCTTGGTTTCAAAACTTGTTCACAGCTTGAGTGAAACCCTTTTCTCTTACAAAGTTAAACCAAAACATGGGCGTTTTTTAATATCGTCAGTCCCAGGAGAGGAAGAATATATATATGTATCCGTACAAAAGAACAGAACGAGGGATTTATTTTACAAGATAAAGCAACGTAACAATATTGCTTTTGATACTAATGCATAACATAAAAGATAGGAACATTTTTTTACTGATGTAACAAGCTTCCAAACTTTATTCTGGAACGGAGGTCTTCACATCGTCAGTCAAATACCAGTAGCAGTTACAAGTTACTCAAGTAATATTTTCCAACCTCAATTGAATGTCTAAAAGATTAAAGAAGTCTACAATGATTATAGTTTCATTTGTTTGTGGAAACGCATTGTGAAGATTTCTCATAGCCATTTATTCGCTTTCCAGACTTCCCTACGACACCAACATACTGAAAAAGCAGATTTTAGGGGAAAGCAATATCTGATGAACTAATGTTGCACACGATCTCTTTATTAGAATTTTATTGGACGGAGTAATCATAAGATCACGCTGGAGAACGGGTTGGATCACCTTAGAGGACATAGCAGGGGAGTTCAAAAGCCAAGAAGAAATCATATTGTTGTTGAGTACTGGTTCTCACACCGAGTCATGAACTCTTGGAACCGACTCCCAGAAGAAATGGTGTCTACAACCTCAACTGATTCGTTAAAGAAGGGTTTGGAAAACGACAGAAATTTACTAGAAAAGGATTAACATAGGCTCCAAGCCTTCTATCCTCAACCAATAAATCTGAAATCTGATTAGACTGAGGAGAATTCACAATGTGTTGTTATTTAACGGAATTTATTTTATTTATTTTATTTTTTATTTTATTTTGATTTACAGCTTGATTCCACACCGTATTTTCAGTACAAGTGTGGAATTTTCAGCATGGATATCGGTAGCCCAAATTCAGGCCGACCATAGATATCGGGTGTGCGCCGGCAGGGGATCGAACCCCGGACCATGTGCATGGTCGGCGAGAGTCCTAACCACTGTGCCACCGACTCACACGTTCGATGTGGGATTGTTTTGAAAGTACATCATATCAACCTGATGTCTAGAAAGTGTTCGCAGATTCGCTAACCCGATCCGATGGAGGATAGCATCATTTTGGTCTTCTTTTAACTCCTTGTTTAAATTTCTGCTTGACTTTGTTACTAGTCATCACCGTAATAAAATGATTGATAAATTATCTATCTATGAACTCAGCTCTCTATGTGGAGAATGGACATGGGGCAAGAAGTGGTTATCCGTGTGTCATCCACACCAGCTGAATAATCAGACCAGATACAGAACATTATAAGTTTGTCGTGGTTATATTGCAGACACGCACCGGTCGCTGAAATGTTTTCAAACTCTCTTGAATAGTAGATTCGAGGGAATTTCACATCTTCAAAAGAGATTTCAGCAAGAAACAAAGATAATTTTCTTTAAGACAGCTAAATAATAACAATCTCCTTTGACATAATTTCAGAGCTTTTACTTCCAGGGAACTGAATCCACAAACCTAAAGTGATGAACTGATATGTCTCTTGAATTCAATATTTGTTGGCTATACACTGTGATGATTCAAACAATAAGTTTGGCTAGGTGACGAACTCTTCGTGTCATGTCTTCACCTCTGGATTGAAGGTTGTTTACCTTGATGAAACAAGCAAAGAAGTTAATCTTAATCTGACACTTTATGTTGACTGAACACTAAAATAGTTGCAGGAAAACAAACAAAATGGGCGACAAAACGGAAGCAAATATTTTATTTTTCCATATCCTATTTGTCTATGCCTAGTCATCGCCTTCCTCGACGGGCAATGTTAGCTGATATAGGGCCAGGCTGGAAAAGAGCTAGCGGCGGTCAAACGAAAACTTGGCACCAGTCAATGAAATCCACAACAGTTAGTCTAAGTCACGTAGGGAGATGTACACTTCTTGGTTGGGGTCCTCGGGACGGTAAAAACCAATGGTTGGAAACAATTGGTGACATGGCTCAAAATCGTTCTCAATGGCGCAGATGCATCCACTCCTTGTGACTTTTGATTTCCGATGAAACTGTTTTGTTCCTCGTTATTACTATTCCTTCGTCTCATACCTCTGTTTACTGTCTATATTATGCATTTCTCCTACTTTCTTCTCTTCCTTTGTGTGCTACATGGAGTGTGGCAACTTGAACTGCCGCACATCAGTGCAAAGTTCTATGTCGAAAACAGACAGACAGACAGACAGATTTGTCTATCTTATGATGGAGTAAATTAAGGATTATGGGGACAAGAAAGTAATACGAAATTTTACTTTTCTTACCACATTTACGTTCGAAAGTACTTTAAGGTTAAAATGACTATATCATAGACCCTATGTCTGAATACTACTTTAAATTCCTTCGGTATTTCTCGGTATCCCATTAATTGCGAATTCTTCAATTTAAAATCATTTCAAATTTAGATTGACTACATAAAGACAAGCTTCTAAAAATGGTTGTTACTGTGAGTTATTATTGCTAAGTGTTAATACCTAGAGTATCTAAGACGGACCACTGTATTTCATTAGTGTCTTCCAGGTTTTAGAACCTGCTTTGTTTCTGCAAAACAACATTTACGTGTGCAGAAACTAGATAACAGTTAAGTGTCGAGGAGCTATGGACCTAGGTTTTATATTGATTGCTAGTGTTAACAAGGTGTATATGTAGCAAAGGTTAGATGCCTACTCACGGAAATTGCAGCACATATTGTTGTAGTCTAAAGGGTTTCACCTCGGCCGTTTGGTTTACAATTAAGCCTGCGTCACCTCTACTTGCTGATAATCAGGGTACTAAAATCCTGTGTTATTTAGTTATTGTATTGTGCAGTATTAAATCTACAAAGTTGTAAGAAGATCGGCAAAATGACGTTCTTTGCTCTTAACAGTAGTTTCTGCTTCTTAAGTATCGTAGAACATATTTCGATATTAAAAAACTGCAGATACCTGAGTGTTACAGAAATGTCTTACTGACTATTATCAAAAAGTGAGTTGTCGATTTGTGACATCAGATTGTATCCCGCGACCTATCTTCGTTCGAAATGTTACCTGTGATTTTGGTCCCTTTGCCCGGAGATTACACTGCAAACATTATTGGCAAAATTTAGTTGACGCTATTGCTCAGAATATATAACACTGAATTTTCTCCATCGACAAATAATTGTGCCTATAAATACATCCTTGACTCACTGTTTGCTAAAATATTTTTCAATTTATGCATAGCTCTAAGCGCATAATTTTTTAAAGTATAGGTATGGCCTGGACAGAAAAGCGAATGTGAGCTTTCGTGAATTCGAAGATGCTTTTACTTCTAAACCTTCTGATGAACAGTTCATACCTCATGAGTATACAACTGTTGGTTCTGAAAAATGCGTATCGGTTGCTCAAGCTTACAGAATGCTTCAAGAAATAGCGTGTGATGAAGAATTCGACTTAAAAGCCATACTACCCCCGAGCTGTTTTGTCAAAGGAGGGCGTATTTTGTGTTCACAGATGCAAGAGGCACTCAGGCGCATGCATATTCACCTGACACCTGAGAACTTTCGACGTCTTTGGCAAGAGTAAGCACTGTTTAGTAATGTCATAATCATAATTCTGATTTGCTTTTGGTTAATTTCTTGAGTATATGCGGAACGTTTGGAATCCAATCTGTTATATGCGTAAACAAAGCATTCAGGGTTGCGACACACAAAAGCGTGAGCTGCTTTCCAAACGACATTGTGGCTTCATGTCTAGGGAACAGAATCAAAGAAAAGTTTACTGTATCATTTGTACGGGTGATTCGATAAAACACTACTCATTACAGTTTGGATCGACTGCAGTTTTGTTTCTAACCTTGAATATCATTTAAGTAAGTTAGTATTTAGCATAACTAAGGTATGACGGACATGCTTCCATTTTCTTGTATTTCCCTAATCTGTGATAGGTCTTGTTTCTCGAGATTACATGCAGTGAATTAAAATAGCACATGACTAAGCAAAAACTATGCCACCTATCTCGCTTTTGTGTGAAATACTTTGTCATTATATTTATCATGTAAATCATATTTCTCTTTAAGTTTAGCTGTCATCTCTACAATAAACTGAAGATGAACTAACCTCAGCTAACTATAGTTTTCACTTATCTAGTAACCAGGTGTTGAATAGTGTTTTAAATAATATGCGTAGACATTTGGCAAGGTAACTAAGAGCTTGTGGATGAAATAAAGGATTTATTGCTGAAAACCTGAGTCATTTAAATTGTACTACAATATATTTAGGATAATTAAGTTACGATAGTAATGAAAATATGGTCTGTCTTCCTAAGCCACTGACTGATTTTGTACTGTTCTTAATAAAAATGATAGAATTTAAGTAAAAAAACAACTCAGTGTTTAATAAACTTATATGAACACGGATGAGCAGGCGTATTAAACTAAAATAAAAATTAATTTAGTTTTCAAGAGTTTGGTTTGCAAAGATTAGATTTGTTTATACGAGTTTGACCACGGATGGATATCAGTTGGATAACCATTGAAAACCAGGGAGTGCTGGACAGCTATTTCATCCTAGTTTGGGGATAATCTTCAGTACGCACCCACTAGGATGAAACAGTTGTACAGTACTCCCTGTTTTTCAATGATTCTCTAACGGATATCACTCTGTGGTTAAACTCGTATAATTTTTATGAATGGATTATTGCGCCATATATGATTAACAAGTGTTCGTAAAATTGTTACGAAATATCAACTATAACAAATACTATAACAGGAGTTCTGTATGAATTCATATAATTGAGACAGTGTCTTTTACAGACCCTGCTAATTATACTGCTCCTCTTGAAATGACTATGTTATCTTGTGAATACTGAAAATTGGATATCTAAGTCTTTAAATGTTATGTAATACCAGCTACTTTTGTATATCTGCTATGAAGTAAAGTTTTGTTTATCTAAAGTTTTACTTTATTTTTAGTAAGCTTGATTTAGAGAAAGTCGGTTCAATATCAACCAGACAACTTCTTCGGATTATGAGTTTAAATGATGATGGATTACCTTTGGATACAAAGACCAAATTAACACCTTTTGAGGCAGCTGAAATTCCCGTGCTAGTGAAACGTCCAGTAGTACCTAAACTAGTGGTATGGCTTTTTACTGCTGACGTGATAAAATTATTTGAGATTTTCATTATAAACTCTGTTTAAATTGCAGGATAAATTACAGAGTTACTTCTTTATTCCATTTAAGGCAGAACACTATCCTTCGTATTTTACACTGCAGATGTTAAGCAAGTTGTTTATGGTGCTCAGTTTCATAAACATAATTATGTTCTACAAAAATAAAGGTCAAGAACATAATGTATTACTGTCAGTTCTGACTAGTGATGAAATTTATCCGGGTTCATGGATTAGAAATATAAGGGAACATTACTACGAAAATTCTAGAATTTAAAACAAAGACGCCCTTCTAGGTTAAGACAGTACTTCCGTTTCCGCGTATGTTAAGTTTACAGAGGTCTCAATAACTGAGATATTTTAGGTAACTGCTTAAGGAAGCGTTGCTCATCCCATTTAGGTCATTCAGATATTAACCAACTTATCAGATCAGATTTCTTTTCAAAAGTGTATCAGTTCATTTTACCACACTTCGGAAATGCAAATGTGAAATGTACGGAAAAAAATATAATAAGAGTAAAGTAGATATCCGAGAGATAGGACGTTAACATTAGGATTGCTGAGAAATTTCAGAATCTGAATGTTAATAAAGAGTGAACAATTGTGCACCATTGTGAGCACTTTTCACTCCATTTAGCGTTAAGGTCTTCGTCAGCTAACATCGCTCGATGATGAAGGTGGTAGTCCACAATACAGAACAAGTGTGCTAGTCACCTAAGTTGTTTCATATTTGCAGTCTTATGACCTGAATTTGCGTTTTTACCTAACATTCTGAGCCTAAGCTCACTATTACAAGACATTTTTCAAAAAGTATACCAATTTCAAATATTCCGTAAAGGAAATACCATGAATGTCATTCAAAAATTCTTCTGGGAAACGAATACTTAAGTGCGGGAAAAATATTGCATAGTTATAGACTTATTTCTACAACGTAATGATCTGAAGAGGAAGACTTTCTTCAAAAATATCTCTTCAAAATTTCCCATACAACACTAATCTTGAGCCCTAAATTTACGTGAATGCTTTCTTGAAAAGATCTAGGAAACTGTTCTGTTCACAAGTCATATGCATTCAACTCAGTAGACTTGATTGTTCCGGAGTTTTGGTACCCTGTGTAATGCAGAGTTTATATAACTTCTCAGTGTATTTTTGAGGCAATATCTGTAGATTTTTGTTTCAGTTGATAGTAACTATCCAGTTCAAATTTCAAATAATTTATTAACAGTTTAAACAAAGGAAAGAAAATGGAGATTTCCTGATTTGCTGCCCAGCAGTGTTTGTCGAAGTTCATTCTCTAACTCCGTTTCGTACTGCAACAAAATTAGCGGAAAACGACCATACTAAGCATTTCGAAGATAATGTAACGCTCAGCGAGATTTTTTCATTATCGGTCTTGAAAACAATGCCTTCAACTCTGTGGTTGATGATTAACTTCCCCTTTTCAAATGATATCTGTATTTGTAACAGTAAATTTGACTAAGATGGTTTTCTCAGCATTCCGATGTAGATCACTCTTCTACGGAACTAACTCACAGCTAAATTTTTTCTTCCTTGTATGTGGTACTTACTGGACACCAGAAAATTTTACTAACATGTCAGCATAGATAGAAATAACGTGAATCTGATAGTTTATTAACCTTTAAAGCTAAGTCTCACCGACTAGAAAATAAAACCTATAAAGGTCACCATTGTCATGGATTAGGAAGGTCTGTTCTGAAGAGAAATTAGACAGTGAACTGAAGTCTCTGCTTGCTCTTTATTAGGAATTGGATATTCCCGGAGAATTATTGATCACACATGAAGGAACAGCTGCAGTCACTATTTCGTTTCCACTTTCCAAATTGTCCGCTTTTTCCCCACAGTATATAAAACACTAGTGTTTGTAAAGCTTGGACAATGTAGTAGTACGTAACTGCGTATTGGTTTGTTTATTGAACATATCACACTGTGAAATAGTGTAAATTACCGGATGACACGCCCAGCAGAATATAATTTTCGTAATCGTATGAATTCTAACTACGCAAATTCAAAACTCCATTTTCATAATTAGGGTGCTTCTTTTCCATTTGTTGTAAGCCTAGTGGAAGCTTACAGATGTTCTGAACAGATACTGAATAGTTTATATTGCACATTTTCTCAGTTGATTCGAAAAATAAAGTTTCAGTCTTCAATCTGTTCCTCCACCATGTTATTTTAAATTTTGAGGCTGTCACTTAATTCCATCTCATTGTACGGTTGTGTAAGTGCATGCAGTGTTGTAGCACAGCATTTTGCTAGGATTCTCAACCTATTTGAGTTTATTAGTGTAGATTTCCCTGAGTATCTGTGCTCTACTGATCTAACTAACACCGACTTACTAACATGAACTGAAAATTATTGTAAAGTATTAGATAAACTGTTCATTAGGCTCCACAAGTTCCTTTAACCAATGTAATCTGTTTCTTAGTGAGTTTGTGGGCTTGAATTCCACTTTTATTCCCGACTTGTTAAGAATTCTACCTGTAGTTTCGGAAGTTCTATCTTTACATGGCAGCACTGTTGATGTATAAAACCTCATATTCCTGTTGTCGTCACCTTCGTGTGTATGCCTCTCATTTATGTTGCTCTTATTATTCATGTTATATCTATTCTTGTAATTGTCTATTTACCTCCTGAAAAGTTTACCTGGGTGATTGTAAGCGAAAAACCTCGCTTAGGTTTCTCCCTACAGGCAGTAGATTTTTTGCATTGTTTAGCTGTTTTACCCTCGAACACTTGAACATCTCTGCAATCCCATTTTCTCGAACATACCACCGGTACTTATTTCTAAATGCGTTTCTTCAGAAAACTACCTTCACTGTTATATCTTCTTGTTGTTGCAGTGAAACTTTAGTAGTTTCTACTAGTGTAGCCGATAGTTATAGTAATGAAGGATATTTTATTACAAAATGATCTCACTTATTTAGTCTAGATATAATGAAAAGTGTATACAATTATCACGGTAAATGTAATTTGATGAATTAAAATGTTTTGTATATATCGTGATCCAAGATTTTCCCTGCGTAACCTGTTTGTTCAAGATCACGAGAGATATCTATCGAAAAAGTGTCATATTGAACTTTTGAATTACTTTCGGAGTTTCTCTGTCATTATAAAAGAGTTCCGCAACTTCACCATTCCACCTTACTTTTTAGAAAAAGCTTTTCACAATTTGACGCTTCTTATTTTATGTAAATTTGCCAGCCTGAGAATTGTCAAGGAACTACTTAATAATCTTTTAGACGATTAACAATTTAATTATCTCGTATTTTCTGATATTGAGAATTCCAGACATTGGCCACTTAAGTGGTGCGTTAAATCTGAACAATGAGGAGAAAAAAAATAGTCATCGAAAAGTTAAAATAATTCCCATGTAACTAAAATTCACTTTACTGTGTAATGGTTTTAATAGGTAACTTAGATGATCCTAAACAGGACGCAATTTGTGTTAGATTCATAATAACTGACTTCTAAAAATGTTGAAGTTATTACTATATACAAAGAAATTCTTGTCATGCGATGAGTGCATTACTAGGTATTCTGACTAATTTTATGATCTTTCTTATATCTATTTCTAAGAAGCTCTCTGAGTAAGTAAAATGAAACTACCTATTTAGTTGAATCACCAACATTCACTTTTGATTTAGTCTTTTCAGTTAAAACATCATGATTTTACATTACTGCCTCTCAGTGAGGTTAGATATTAAACTTTTAATTTGCCCAACTCTTCTTGTGGTTTATTTATAGAATTGCTGCATCCTGATTCATAGTTATCTGAAAAAGATTCGCTTCCAAGCTTCCTCGTTGTAATGTATGAGAAGTGATGTTGAATAAAAAAAGATCACTCCACATTTGAGCAAATATTTAAGTATTAAAGCAGTTAGTCAATAGCCTAATAATACGAGAAGTGACAGCATCCTAGCATTAAATCTAAATATTAATTCCACAGATGTATAAACTAGTTTAAAAGGCTAAGAATCTAATTTTTCACTGATATCTTGTTTCAGTCCGAAAGTTAGTAGTTGTGTGCGTAGAGATTTCAGATTCCAAAAACTATATTATCAAGTTCGCAACAGCTTATCATCCGTCTAGTTTGTTCCTTCTCTATGTGTCCTCTAGAAGAAAAGTTTATGCCATTATTACTTTTTAGCCATATCTTCTTGAGTTCACTTTCTGACGTTAGGCAGGATGATGCAGACATTAATAATGAAGCTGGGCGTAGAATATTAGACAGGGAATGAAAATAAATCCAAAATGACTTGACCCTCCGTCGAATCTGGTGGCTAGGACATGCGGTGTATATGCTGAGCCATCACCATCATCGACAACCAATGTTAGATGGTATGGGATTAGCACAGAAAATAGTTAGGAGTGGTAAAATGCATACTTGATAGTGACTTATGAATTCGTTGATTGTTTTTTTTTGAACCATCTGGCGAAGTGAATACCACTTGGCTGGTGTCATCGAGATACTAAAAATTAATGACCTGAGATTGATGGTAATGTTGCTAAAAATCGTCCAAAATTATGTAGATGAATTCACTGTTTTCTATCAGTCAGATTTATTAAGACCATATTATTATTATTATTCAGGGAGTGATTGTTTATCTTGTACATTTTCGTCTATTTTATTTTCATTGCAGTCTACTTTCCTACATCTTTGTGTGCTTTTATGAAGTGTTATAGCTTGAACTGCCGCTTTTTGAGCTAATTTCCGCGTCGAAAATTTGGTCCAGTTTGTTTGAGGACAGAACTAATTTGAAGTCTGTATTATTTATATGAAACTATTCGGATGTGTAGATATTTGAGCTTAGCTTTATTAATCACTGAAAACTAGTGATTATGGAATAAAAATAGGTCTAGTGAAAGATTCTTAGGAGATTTGTGTAATAATGTGGAAGTTGTTCAAAACTAATAATTGCCAAGTGTATCTTGAATTGACTCGTATTCATTCCAAATCTTTTAGCATATTCTCTCTAGGATTATTTATAACCATTATCGCATCGTGAACAGTTATGAAAAATGGATTAAAGTTCAAATTTTCACTGTTATTATTATTTCTTGAATTATTGTCATATTAAAACATTTTGTAGTTTCTTCACAACACTTTTTCACTAAAAAGCTCTTATTAGTAAGAAAAAGATGTTAAGAACTTATTTAAGTTAAAATACTACCAACAAATTTATGTAGTGAAACACCAAAGACATACACTATGTGAGATAATAGTTACTGCCTCAAAAATGAGAGCAGCAAATCTGTCAATCGGATGTAGTTACCCACTGAAATAAAAGTTTTATCAGCTTTAATTTTAATGTATGGTTCTAATCACACAGCCACTCCAAATCAGTAATTATCTTGTGTTTTTTACCATAAATATTTGTTTTTTGTCTTGAAGCCAACAATTGAATGTCCACGCTTTAAAATGCTAGACAGAAAGGATATTGGTTATCAGGAAAGCGATTTACCACTCATTGCGAAAGATCCCAAAAGTGGAGGAATATCTTTCCCAAAAACTTTTGTACCAACTTGGGAGGCCAAAGGACCAGGTGGGACACATGATCCAATATATGGTTGTGGTGACCGACATCTCAACAATCTTCAGTCACTTGAAGGGCAACCTGTTTACTTTGATAACGTTATTGATTCATTAAAATACAAGGTAAATTTTAATTTCTCGAAAGCAGTCAACAGCATCTTTATTGCTTTCCCAAGTTTGTGACATATATCTTTCATAGTCTCATATTTGTAACAAGTAGGATACACGTATATCCTTCTAGTGGTTTACGCAGTGGCTTTATGAAATCTTACGCCAGCAGCAAACAGAATAGAATGAAATAGCGGAGACGGCACATTCAGGTAGAGGTTTGATGACAAGGCTGATTCTTTTCTCTACTCACAAATCGGGCATCACGTTCTGTCATCAAAAATAGGAGTTAGTCAGTAATAAAACTTGTGGTATGCATTACCGAGTGGCCTGTGGTTTATGCTCGTTCGAAAATTTAGCTAATACACACTTCGATCTTTGGTAAAGTAGCTTAGTGGTAAAGGCCTCTTATCTTGACATCGGGTGATACGTATTGGGCTTTCTGATTTTAAGAACTGTCAACTTTTCAGATATTAAAAATATCGCTACCCATATCAAAGACTGTCAGTCAACTAATTAGTACATCTGACGTCATATTTTATGCTAATTGTTTTTCATCCTCTAATTACCAATATTTATGAATAGCCTAAAACTGCGTTATCGAAAATTTGATACCGTAAGTGTTAATATGCATGCAATATTCAATAGTGATTGAACAAGACTGCTAAATTTAAAGTTATACAAACTGTGTCATTCAACTGTGGTAGAGATTCTCGGGCCAGTGAAAGAAAAGCTGTAAAGACACAACCTCCATGATACATTCGACTTTGTTGATTCAATTAAGAATGTCAACGTGGCAGACAAAAAAAACGGTTTCCTTGAATATCGTCTCTCTTTTCACCAACGTTCCACTGACAGAAACCGTATGTCTCCTTTATGACTACATTCAGTCCATCAGCATCGATGTCGGTATACCTATCCATTTCCTAAAAGAACTGTTACTACGGTGCACCTTCAACATACACTTTAGTTTCAACAACGAAATATACAGGCAATTAGATGGGGTAGCAATGGGTTCTTCCCTAGGACCCTCCTTCCCGACTGCTTTATGTCTTGTCTAGAAAAAACTCCTTATCATCAGCTATCGACGACCTTCATCTCTACGAGAGATACATCGATGATACTTCCATTATCTGTGATGAGAATTGTGATCTTAAAAACTTACTTCAAATCTTCAGCAATACCCACCTAAACATCGACTTTACACTGGAAGTTGAGTCTAACTCAATGTTTCATTTCCTTGACGTTCAACTATGAAGGAATGCAGACAACTCGCTAAGAAGATCCATCTACAAAAAGCCCACATGGAATGGACAGTTTATCGACTTTCAAAGTTGTGCTGCTGTAAGCAGAAAGAGAAACCTAATGTACTCTCCTTCCTCGAGGATTTGCACTGAAGAGTCAATCGGAGAAGAATTACAAAATCTCCAAGGGACCCTGATAGGAAATGGATTCGCACGCGAATTCATAAACAAGTATCTAAAACCAAGGAAAACACCTAAAAGGGTCCAAATCGCCCCCAAAAACATTCTAATATTGAACCTTAAATTTAAAAGTGATACCGAAGTAGAAACTCTCCGCAGACGGCTTTCGAAGTCTCTTAGTAAAACATACTTCACCACCAGACTACGAATAACATCCTCCTGCTATCAACTACTCACCCAACACGTGAAATACAAGCTGTCGCATTGGGCCACTTTAACATGCATACACAAGTTCACTTGCTCGTGTGGAGCTGAGTAAATTGGCCGTACCATGCGACCGCCCGTAAAACGCGTGGGGACACTATCCAGCATGGCTAGCAAAGAGAGAACGCAATGTTTGATAACAGAACATCTGGTGAATTCTGGACAACCAGTCTCATATGAAAAGTCCTTCAAAGCCATATATAAGATCTGGTCAAGCCTAACAAAGGGAGTGAAATCAAGACGTCTAGGAATAGCTGAGGCACTGGTGATTTAAAAACTCAAGCCTATTCTACGTGTCCAAAAGAAATACGTCCAACCGCTGTCCCTACCGTAGCCATCATGAAAAGTCAGTCTCACCAATAATGATTACCCTATTACCTTTCTTGTCCAACCTTCCTGTTTATTTGTTATATTTACCTTTTAAATCCCTATCTGTATTATTAGATTTAGTTACTATTTTTATTTCTATATGTCCCAACCTCCTGCCCATTTCGTTAATACCACATCCTTGACCCATAATTATATAAACTGACTAGTTTTATAGTAATTATAATCCTATTTTGTATTTTCTACCTGATCTTCCTGATTATTAAACATTGTAATTTTTAATTTGACCTTTGGCCTGAAATATTTCTAGATCAGTGCCACTACCTATCTTCTGTTTATTACACTTAGTAATTTTATTAATTTGACATCTGACCGGAAGTATTTCTACAACTTTCTCATAGTTGTAATATACATACACTATTGTACAACCTAGTTGATGACTACGTCGAAAAGAAATTTTTTTCGTTGCAACCGTCTTTTTAATCATTCAGTTGCCTTTTAAAATATTATTATTCCTCTTTCGTTTATGCTATTATATATTTTATCGTTTGGCAAATTATCAAATCAAAAGAACTGTAATATATTTATTCAATAACATGTTACCTGAATATATTTCTGCATCGCTGTTTGTATTTAATCGTAATTTAATACATTGAGGAATTCATACACCAGAGGCAAAGTTACCTGGGCCTCAACCAACGTGTAATTGCGTTAACTGAAGCAATATCAATTTTTATAACATTATGATACATTTTACATTGTTAGTGATTGATTCGTTTAAATGTTTATGACTCCGGTTGTGCAGAGTGTTACAACTGATTAGTGGCATCTAACTACCAAGCTTCGAACTCTAGAAATCTCTATATCCTGTAGTTATATAATATGAGTGAATAAAATACGCAATAAATACTTTTAAAACTAAAATTTTTCACCTAAATAAGAAACCATATCTCAACCAATAATTGAGAAACACTTATATAGTTTATTGTGTCTTATGGCTTTATTTTTACCTGAAACAGCCAGTCTGTCGGGGTTGATGACATGTCATCTCACAGTAATATTAATTTTGTTCACTTTATGTTTTTATTTACGTAGTTTGAACTCCCGTACCAAGCGATGATGGTTTCGTTTGAGCATTTAGATAAAAATGGAAGCAACCGTGTTACGGAAGATGAATGTTACTGCGTTTTGAGGGAATATGGACTACCGTTTGAAAAGAAGGATTTGTCGGCATTTTTGAAGAAAATATTAGCTCCATCAGAAATATATCGACCTAACGGAGGGCTTGGTGGTGATCGACCACCACAAACACAACCTCCAGGCACGGATCCAGTAAATATAAGACCTGGATTGGTGCCATACAAAAGGCTTCTGGCATATTACCAAGACTGTAAACCTGGGAGTGTTGCTCATAAAATAATTGAAAGAATAATATCCAGGTGAGTAAAGCAACAGTATGTGAAAAATAGAATGCCACATTAAAATGATATTTATATTTAATTAAAACGATCCTCTGTCACTCCAAATGCACAGATCAGTTGTGTGAACTCAGGATTCTTCTGAATAGCAACCTGAACCTACAGAGGTTAGCTTACAAATCATAACTATGAGTTTTAATTTTCTTTAGAGCCTCAAACAATGTATCCACAACATATTTATATTTTAAGCTTTTGAGTGCTGTCTCTATATCACTAATGTAGGACATCTTGCAATCCCCTTTATTGTAGTTCATTACATAACAAATTCTTCAAATATGTCAAATGAGAGAATTCCATTTCACTTAGTTAGCATCCTTCATCCCAGATGAATTCTACACACCTCTGAGTTATTGTACACATAGACAAATGAGAATATCAATATATAGTGCGTGACGGTTATAAGCTGTTAAGTTTTCTCTGTTAACATTTCTAAAATAATATAAGAAAAACTCAAATATGATACCGTTAATTATTTTAATTTATCTTTTAACGTGCGTCGGTGGCACAGTGGTTAGGACTCTCGCCGACCATGCAAATGGTCCGGGGTTCGATCACCCGCCGGCGCACACCCGATATCTATGGTCGGCCTGAATTTGGGCTACCGATATCCATGCTGAAAGTTCCATACTTGTACTGCAAATACGGTGTGGAATCAAGCTGTAAATCAAAAAAAAAAAAAAAAGTCAAAATGATTTTAATATTTGTAATTTTAAGTACAGAAGCCAGCAGAAAGTTTCATTTACGCCTTTTCAAAACATCTTTTTACACTCCTCGAACTTATATTTCAGAGAAGATTTTAGAAAATGTAGAAGTAATCACTGTAAAATCTGTTAATATAATGGTTCTTCCAGCTGAGTGAGATACTTGGAAAATGGTGGCAGTGGTGGGACTCTATATGTGTACATTCAAAATTGTATCTTTACATTAATTCATTACAGAATAATTGATTACCGGACATATTGTTTCGTTTAACTTAAAAGATGAATCGAGTGATATGTAGTGTTTATCAGAAATGTGTCACCATAAATCATAATTAGTACTTTTCTATCTCAATGATTTGGACGTCAGTGTATTCTGAAACATCTTGGTTCGATTTTTTTTAAAACATTTTTAAGGCCAACATCGGAACAAGACTGCGCTAAACTGGTTACTACAACAACGCCTAAAGAAGCTGAAGAGGGAATGGTCAAATTACTACATGCGCCTTACATTAAATTCTTGCGAAAAGTCAGGTAACGCATACTGCCTTTCACTGATGGTGTCATTTTATTTATTTAGTAAAACATTAGGTTTTTTTCTTCTTCATTTAAGTTCAAAAACTCGATAAAAAAATTAAAGTGCTTTATTCAACCAGCAATAATAATTCGTAAGTTAAGTCTAAAAAATGATTTCAAAATGTTGTTAATTTAGTCATCTTAATCGTAATCGATAATCGTCAGGTGTACATAGGTTGCAGACCAAAGTATATTTCCTTCTGTACTTTACTTACACAAGAAAAAGTGTCGGGAACAAAAGCACTCATACGCTTGTATGCGTTCTTTGTTTAAGAATGAAAGAGATAGCACTACACTGTATAATATATTTTGTTTTGTATTTTGTACCAATTGAGAAGATTGAAAAAAAATCACTCAACACTTAAATATTTTCAACAGTATGGACTAGTTCAATCTACTACATTCAATTCATATCAGTAGCTTTCTAAATGATCGAAAATACTAAACATACAATGAAGTGGTACTGTTTTGAGGAACAACTTATAATCTCGCTAACTTTTATTCAACTTTTAGTGACTGAGAGAAGCAGGTTACAAATTAACCGGAACTAGTAACTTTAATTACCTAAAGCGTTTAGTGGTAATTTATCATTGTCTACTGACAGCTAACATTTAGTTTACGAAACCACAATGGTAATTAAGATTATGAGATTTAAAGCGAAACTGAATTTGACTGATTAACGCATCCTCGACTGTTAAGTCAGAGTAATGGCTATAGCAGTAATTCATATTGGTAGCAGATATAAACACTAACGCACAACATGAAAATAGTTAAACATTCACAGTTTACCTAAAACGTGGGAGAAAGTTGAGTAAAAGATGAAGAATGTGGATGCATAGAATAAGATAAAGGGGAGGGAAACAATGGACAACGAAATATGCATTCATGAAAACTTGAAAAAGGAGTACATACTCGCTTGTCACTGCCATCCATATAGATCTATAGAACTTTGGATTCTTAGACACATTTTGTTTCAGTCAAAGGCCATAGAGTAATTATACCTCATATAAAAACACAAGCCTAAGAAATTTATTGTTTGGACTTCATGTTTCCATTATCGGAAGAATATGTAGCCACAAAATAAAATGAAAGCTTTACAAACTTTAAAGAATACATTCCCTATTTTTAACAATATAATGGCAAAATTGTAAATTGCTAGATGTGTAATCGAAATAGGTCTTTTTGAGTCAAGCATCTAGACCAGATTCCCGATCTGAAGTTGTTTTTTACCTGTAGAACTCCAAATGGATTTTCTTATTTATTTTATTATTCAAAATACTCCTCATTCTGAGCACTAGACTGAGGGCCACATTTAATTAATAGACGTCTATGCTGCTAAATGAATATTGAAGTTAATTTCAAATACTGTCTAAAGAGGAAATCTACTTAAACGCGTAAATCATTTATACACTTTTACAAATTTATCATATATTCAAAAAATATTTTTAAATGACTCAAAATATTACGATTTTGAAAATAAATCTTTGTTAGTTCTAAAGCATCTAGTTTCGTTTTACAAAACTTTATTTTAGAAATTATACTGATGGTGATGGCGGGATTCCTGAAGATACATTACGCGCTATTATGTCTCATACAATTAATAGAGAAGTAACAAATGAACAGTGGACGAAAATGAAGAATTATTTTCATTATCTGAAACCTGGAATTATCGACTCAAAGCAAATCTGTGTATTATTTGGTGGTATGTAAGTGAAATATAGTGACAAAGTTTTATTTGTTTAAACTTGATAAGTTAGAAACTTATTCTTAGGGTTATGACGAAAAATCCCAATAAATATTGCCACTCATTCTCCCCCTGGGCAGATGCTTAAGTAGTCTCAATTTAGCATATAATATATGCATCTATATAGATTATTAAGTGGATACTAAAGAAATTTATCTCCTGTTAGCTGGTAAGTGCAACGACAATGTGTGAAGCGAGAAATAGGGAGATTCAACAGAAGTAAACCGACAAAATAACAACTGTTGGATGGTTTGATGCATTTGATGGGAAGCCTTGGAACTGGGTGTCATGCTTGTTGGCACTCATCAGTAAGTCTTTTATTTATTCTCGAGGAAATTCGTGTCCTTGCTGGGATCCGAACCCGTGTTACACAGTGCTTGAGTCAGAGACGCTACTATTGAGCTGCTTGGTCTCATGACTGACCTCTTCCAGAACGGTATAAGATTCTTTTGGTTGAGCACTTGATAGTAAGTGTCATTTTTCTAGTCCTTCTTTTGCTGCAGATTGAATTCTATCAGTCAGATATTATACATGACAATAGGATATATAAAAATTGCTATTATTCATTGAATATAGTTAATCCTATCACTGATTTACTCAACAGTCACTGTTCCAAAATTAACAGTCATTACGAATTTTGTGATTTCTCTTTAAATTTGTTGTGTTGGTAATAAACCCTGGTAACATTATCTTCATGCACCGACTACAACAGTTACCACACACTTTAATGAATAAGTTTGCATTCAATTCCAGATAATCGAGAAATGATTGAACTAGCATAGGCGGTCAATTTTGGAATGACATCTTAGTGAAATAAATATAAATCTTATAAAAAACGCATCAAGTTACTATGTATCTAAATATGCTTATCACGTATAATTATTGCACATATATGTATGACTTTTAGAAATGAAACTTCACCTATGCAGTTAGTCTAACTGAAGCTGCTTTGTGCATCCACCAGGGAATTAGATGCAAAGTAAGTATGTTGTGAAAAAACCTCGTGAATTCAGACTAAGGCAGAACTAACGGAACTGGTAGTTGTTTGATAGTTCTGCTTTTAAAGGGAATTTTCTTCATTACTCGGAACTTTATAACAGTCTGTTAAATTTACCTAACGAATAGTCTATAATATTTGTGGTGTCCGTACCAATACAGTTTTATTCTCTAATTTTACAGAAGCAATATAGCAGCACAGCGTGCAAACAGTGATTTTGATATGTAAGTTTTTACTGAAAATTGTTTGTTCTTTCCTCAGAAGTCGAGAATTTATTGTGCAAATGAAGAAATTCAATATGAAGAATGAATGCATATTGTAATATGTATCCTCTTTCATCGAAATCACTTTTGAAAATTTATTTAGTAATCTTACAAGAGCGTACATGATTCCTCTTTCAGGACTCCGAAACACCATAAGATTATGAACTGCGCTTGCTTAAATTCAATGGAATGGCATCAAGTATTGTTATTTTGAATCCCACTAAGAATGTTATCAGTAATTTCAAAGGACATTTTAAAATGATATTACATGTAACATTAATTATACTGCTGGAACGAGGAAGTGTGAATTGATAAGACGTTTTCTGGTAAGGTCTTCAAGTGACCTCACATTCCTCCCCCCTCCATTCGCCCCGAATGAGAAGAGATGAGTTGAGCATCTAAAGATGGCACATAGCATATCATATGAAAGCCTTTGGACAATTCTAGAACCAGTTACAAAAGATTATAAAGAATAGAGTGAAACGGCTAGGGACTTCTGAAGCCCTTTACTCCATTAAAAACCCCATGGACGATTATTAGTAACCAAAATAATTGTAAAACTCTAAAGAGATGATAAAAGGTTGTGCACACAGGTTGTTTTAACCTGAAATTTTGATTCCAAGATGTCAATCAAACTAATCAGCAATTTATAATCATATTTTGTGTTGACTTCAGCCATCAATGGCATCACTGCAACAGCTTATGTACATTTAACTGAGATAATTATGGTGATAAAAAGGATTCTTTTCAGAGTTTTATAAACTGACAATATAATCGAAACGTGTGACAACCGTACATCTAAAATAATTTCTGAAAAATTTAATCAGAAGTTTTTTATTGGAAACGAGGTGGAGCATCCTCTGCATAAAATTTGAGAACCCATTTGCTCAGGTTGAACGATTCAAGTTGTAAATTGTAGTCGATATTCTTGTTCCCTTGAAATCGAGGAAGTGACAGATATTTTCGTAACTGATCAGCGTGACTTGTGTTGGAACAGCAAAAGACGATGCAGTTTAGTTATAGTTGTTCAATCCTAATGCATATAAACAAGGTATATATGGTCTACTCTTGGTACACTAGCTTTAAGTCTTCGGAAGCGAGAGGAAATATGTTTGTAATGTATGACTTCTTCCAGTTAGACTAGCAGGCGTTGCTTTATTGTTTCATAACATTTTAAAGATAATGCTTTAGTCTCTATTTCAAAGACTTTAGCTTACAGGATTTAAAAGAGACAATGGCCGTGATTTTTCAACTTTGTATTAATTCAAATGTCTAATCTATTCTTATAAGACTATATTCTGGTCACGATTCTGCTGTGGATAAAATACCTTCTATGCCATCACCTGTCTTGCATTAGTGATGAGATGAGCGTAAATTAAATGACACTAAATTTGTACAGTATGGACATTAGTGATTCGGTGGCTCAGCGGTCGAATGCTCGCCAGCCACGCATGTGGTCTGGGGTCCGATTCCCTGCCAAAGCCCTCGCTAAGCCAGTAATAAGACTATTAAAAAAGGGAGGTTGGGCATGAGACTAGCACCCCCTATCCCGCGAAGAATTAACACTACTGCGGAGACTTCAAAGCTCTAGCTTGAAGTACTGTGTTCCACTGGGAACGTAAAAAATAAAAATGACCTTAGTTAAGTTGATTTACGAAAGAAAAATATGAATGGTCTTAGCATAATACTTCTGTTATGCTGATGAAAAAGACTAATGGACACTACGTGGTCAAGCAATTTCAAAGCTTTAAAAGGTTACAAAATATACTATGGTTGAAGGAAGATTTGCGAAATCAGGTCATTCTAAAAAATATCTGATATATTGTATTATTTGCATCGTTGTGTAGCTTTAGCGTACAGAATGCAATATTGTCATACTGTGTAAAGTTTCTGTTCACGTGTAATTAGTAGGACTGAGGTTTTGTTTAATCGACAAGAAATCAGCTTGCTCTAAAAAAAGCTAGCAAATTATTTCGTAGCCTAATTGTTAGATGTTTAAAGCCTTTGTCGGATAAATTCTAGTTCAGTTGTTTTTCTAGTGACTCAGGTCTTGCATGTTTAAGAATTAAAATTCATTTTATACAGCTCTGATAAATGTTAAATAATACTGCTGACCACGTTTCAACAGTTAAAAGGTTGTTTTGTTTTAAGTAAAGTCTTCTTAATTAATTCAGTCAATTTTTTTGCTCTTAAAGTGCCCTATTATTTCATTACAGTGAGAAATTTCGTTGCCGAATAACTGATGACAGTTATAAAGGTGAAGTACGAGATGAAGCCACACTGCTTAGATTGGTAGAAAAAGTATTGAGAAAACGGTTACACCATATAGACAAGGTTAGTTCAGTTAGTTAATAATCGGTCTGAAAAGAGTGTGAAAATTAATGAAACTCTCTTTCAATGTTATTTCAAGGAATGATGTATTTCAACAGTGTAATTTTGTAGTGCTTTATATCTTCTAGTTGTTGGACATACTTTCATTTAACTTTTTAAATGACTGTTAAATAAAGTAGCAGCACTGAGATCGTCTTCAAAAATATTTGTATGAGATCATGTTTACAGAACCATAAGAGTTTGCATCTATCACTAAATGTCACTCGTGAAGGGGTTGATTGGTGGCAGTCTCCAGTTTCACTTAAATAAATTAAATAAATTCTTCTGATAATGTCTGAAATATCTAAGCTTTTATGAATTCAGAGCAATAGTCTCGATATGCTGTTAATATGCTGAATGAGGAAAACGTGAAATGAAGTCTTAAGGAAAATAATTCACCATTTTAACTAGTGTGAATCTGTATCACTGATTCTCTTTAATAGGTTATTCAAGTTGGTTTCAAAATAAAGAGCATTAACTTTATCTTGATTATTTTCACCCACTTGAAAACATTTAGACTTTGCAATTCTACGCGAGATACTGCAATATTGTATTCGTCTGTTATCTCCTTTTTCTCACCATAAAGACAATAATACTAAAGATTTAAAAATATTCCATTAAGCAGTTAAACTTGCCTTCTAACTTACTATTTATTTCATGCTGATCACACAGTTGTTTGAGGCATGAAGTTTATTCACTCAACATTCACATAAAGTGCTAAACCTTTCGATGTCGAATTCCTGAAAAGAAAACAGCCTTAATTTTGTTGAATAAAAATTATCAATAAATGTAACTACTTGTTGAATAAAATACCCTCTGTAAACTGACCTGTGACTTAAGCGTCCGATTGAAAGAAAATTCATCTTAGGGATAACATCCAAAAATGTTGTTTCACTATTTTAAAATGCTGTTATTCCGTGTTGGTCTAGTCATCTGTTGCTGAAACGTCCAATACAGCGATAAACATTCAACGAAATTCTGAGCATAATTTTTTATATTACACAAAGGGGAATTGCATAATTTTTCAAAGTGGTATTTTGTAGATTTTAAGCACCAAATCTTTCATGTTCCTGAAGTCAAACATCTGAATGGCATATACAATATTTTACCTGTAGTAAGATGTTCACTCCGTGGTATAAAATGGTGTTATTAAGAATTGACTTGGATGTCAAACAAACTAGACTGTAAACATTTAATGCATGCTTGACTGATGTGGCAGATCAGATTTAGTATATTTATTCAATATTCAGAAAATTTTGAAACATTTATGAAAGCACACATGACTCTGGTTGGTTGTGTAAACGCTCGAAACCGGTTTTTTGATTTATTCTAATAAAGTGTATAGTAAACACCGACTAAATATACTTGAACAAATAAAACTTATTTATAATGAAGCTATTTATTTGCATTAACAGTTAGAGTAAGCAGTAATCTTCATTGCTAAACACTATGTTTTCGCTGAACCGTCAGTTAACCAGTCTTAGTACATTTAAGTAAGATTTTTCGAGAATGCCAATCGAAGTGAAGAGACTGTACGTTTAGATATGATGAGACATTCTAATGTTAAGGAAAAACGAGTTTGGCAGTGTTGTGTTTAAACAGAAAAATATAGTCTGAATGCGAATTACAGATTTTATTTAATTTATTTTCCAGAGTTATAAGTACTTTGATCAGGCTGAGATAAATATGCTTACAAAAGAAGATTTTGATGAGCTTCTAACCGGGTAACCAGTGTTTTTATCTTTCGTCTATTTGATGTTGATGATGCGACAATCTTTGAATCGTATTCAGTTAAATGAAATATCAAGTTATTTTTCTTATCAGTAAAGCTTATTCTTCCGGTTTCGGTTATACAATGAAAAGACGATCACTGTGAAACTTTAAAGTTACCTAGCTAAGTGTGACGACGCTGAGATGAAACTTTTGGAATATCCACTGCGTGTTAACAAAACTAATAAAACAAAAAATACCTCCTTTCAATAATTTCTGATGCTTACAGAAGAAACTGTTATAGAATGCACACTCACTAAGTAATATATTGCGTTCTGAATCAATAAGTAACTTGCTGGGTAATTCCACACACTAGTTATAAACGCAGATGTTGCAACTCGCTTTTTATAAGCATCATATGACATATTCAATAATATTAGTTACAGTTATCAAATGTCGTTTTATCAAATTTACCACTGATTGCTCATTCAATGCTTGAACTGTTACTTTCGTTCGAACACTGATTTTGGCTAAAATGTGTTGTGAAAGGAGCAAAATCATAACACTTCTTTTTCAATTAGTGTCACCATTATTCATCATGAAGCTGAAACTTGCCATAGTCCCCGTTAATGGCCAAAACCAGAAATAGTTACTCCTTTCTTCTATCTAATATCATTTCTAGTGCCTTTGAACTTGAATGCATTAATACATTCAAGTGACAATTAATGGCGATTCAGTATCATAAAAATAATTCGGTTGCCTCACATTTATAAAATATTCACAACAAATGAATAACTTTTCTTTCCTAACTTAAGTACTATCTCGTCTGTTTATTCATTGAAAGGATGCATTCATATGAACATTCAGGTACTTATTTCTTCTCAGAATAGTGGAACAACATATTCACACTGTCACTGTCTTAAAAGCCTTGTGAGGTACTTTCGAAAGTACTGATAAACCTCTTTTGAAGTGATCTGTCATTATTAATCTTCAATATCCACTTTTCTATCATAATAATTTAAAATTACAAATCAACTACTTAGAACATCAGGCTCCTCATAATTGCAAGGTATCTGTCAAATTTTACCAAGAATACCGTAGTGAGAACTCTAAAACTATCGATATTATTTCGGTAAACATGCAACTCGTCATTCATTGTATCTGGATATATTTTTTCGTCATTACTTCACTAAAAGTTTCGTAAACATGACACAGGCTTTAATTTAAACTATATGTCTGTTTAGTTCAGAAAAGTGAATTGTTTGTGCTTGTAATGAGGTCAGCCAAAATGACATAGTCATTTAGTTATTGTATCTATCAAGCTTAAGTTTAAAACATATCGATAAGGGTTACATGGCAATGCCTCGTTGGTGCTACAAGCCTTCAATTTTTAAACTTCAAATAATATAAATTATTATACAAACCTACAAAATATTATTTAGACCACACAAGTTGACAAAATAACGCTATTCAATTTCTTTCATCAGTACTATAACTAAATACTTATGCGAAGCAACTACTAGGTGTTCTTTCAGATGGAAAGGTTTATTTACAAATCTTCTATGTTTAAAGGACGGATACTGACGTTCAGTATGGTCTGAGCTTGGTTGGTTGATATAGGCAGTGCACCTGCGGGCCAAGTAAACTGTTCTTCAAAGTGTTTTGTTTAAAATTTTAGCTGTGACTTCTGGAAATTAGTGAAAGTTCAACTAATTGTGCAGGTTGTCGCACGCACTGTAGACCTATTAGGATCGTTTTTATTTATTCAGCATAATTAATTGACATCTAGTATCTAGTGATAGTGAATTAACCGATTATATCCTTTTCATCCTTCATGTTTATTTTCGGTATTTGTGAAGCATAATAGTCATCTTATTTGTAAGAAGCTGAAATTTCTTTCCATTTTTCTTCGAAAAGTTCATATGAATCTTCAGAAATTAAGTAACCTTTGCTAACATTTAGCTCCAGGTAGTCCATATTCTTTACTGTTGTTTTGACAGTAACAGCTAATATGACACGACTTAAGCGTTCCAACTTTTCTGACAAATTTACAAGCAATTTGAAAATGTCAAGGAAAATATTGTGACAAAGACATGTCCTCATTTTTTATTGTTAAATTACAAAAATGCAAAAATCAGATCAGGCGAAATGATACAGCGAGCTGGTGAAAGCCCACCTTCGGGAAGACAGTCAGCCGATGTGTCTTCCGTCGATGAAAGCGAGAATAAGAATGGGGACGTGGGATGTAAGTACAATGTACAAGACTGGGAAGGCTGCTCAAGTAGCCGAAGAGATGCAAAGATATGGGATAGAAGTGCTAAGAATCTGCAAGAACAAGTAGAATGGATGCGGGTATTAAAATTGTGAACTGGTGGGTCAGTAATCTACTCCGTCTGGTCAACTAAACAACAACCACGAGCACACTGAGTCGCCGACTGGATATCATGATGTCACCAGTGGCAACCAAAACCCTAGTCTAACAGGAACCAATATCATCGTGCAGGATAATGACAGCGAGATTCAACTCAAAAGGAAGGAAGGTAACAATTATCCAATGCTACCCACAGTGCTAAAAACAATGCGGAACAAGAGAAGAAGGAAGATTTCTATAGATAACTACAAACAATAATAGAAAACTTCCCGACTGGCGACATCAAAATCCTTATGGGTAATGTGAATGCCAACCGTACTGGGAGCACACAATACAGGAAGAGAACTCATCATGGGTCGAGAGCCTTTTGCCCGAAGAAGTGAATGAGAACAAAGAACTCTTCGCGGACTTCTGCACTTTCAATATTCTGGTGATCGCAGGTGGCGTATACAAACACAAGCATGTACACAAAGCAACATGGATTTCGCCTGACGGACACACCAAAAATCAAACGGACTCCATCTCCATATTGCTCAAGGAAGTGAGACGTAGACAATCTGTTGGACACAAAGTTGAGAGGGGAACAGATGTGAGCTCAAACCATCATCTAGTTCAAGGAACCTTCAAGGTGAAGCTGAAATCCCTCAGAACAACTGGAGACATTCAACATTCAGAAACTGAAGGACAAAACCACAAGGGATGCCTTCACCACAGGTCAGATAAGAGAAAAGTCAGACACACTACGTAATATCACTAAGGAAACCTGTGTCGAAGAACATTGGATCTCTCTGAATGTGGTGTTCAGGGAAACATGTACAACTGTTCAGGAACACAGAAAAGACATTACAAGCAATCGCTCTCAATGGACACCTACCTGGAAGGAGAGGAGGATGGCGAAAGAGATGACTCAGTGCAAAGATGGACAACAGAAGGTGAAGCTGAGTTCACAGCGATGTACGCTGCACTGAATCAAGAAAGACATGAATAAGAGTGCCAGGAACGACAGAAGACAATTCTACGACACACTGGTCGGCAACTGAAGCAGAAGAGGTAGGCTGCACGTAAAAGAGACCTGAGGACATTATATCAGCCAACCAGGTCTCTATCCGGGAAGAGGTCAATTCAGATGATGAAACCAACAAAAGATGCTCAACAAAACCTGATTACCAGAGAGGAGAGACGAATAAAACAACGAGCTAATCAATTTAAAGGAATCTTGAATCGACCATCACCCACAAATCATCCAGAAATACACCACCACCAATAGCACTCACACAACTGCCTGCCAGTGGTCACCAATCCTCCAACGAAAGCAGAAATCCTGAATGCGGTCAAGCTACTGAAGTCCAGTAGGGAAGGCAGCAGGACCACGCCTAATTCTCCCCCACCCCACAGCACCACCACCCAAAACACTGAAAATGGACCCAGAGACTGTGACAGATGTTCTCACGCCATTATTGCGAAAGGTTTGGAAGGAAGTAAAGGTGTCTACCGATTGGAAGAAAGGCTGGTCACCTCGTCAAACTGCCAAAGAAAGGTGACTTGGGCCTCTACAAAAACTGACGTGGAATAACGCTCTTGTCTTCGCCAAGTAAAATAGTAAATCGCATCACCCTGGAGAGGATGAAATATGCATTGGATACATAACTCCGCCCAATACACGGAACAAGCTGGCTGGATTCAGGAAAGGCAATTCATGTGCTGATTAAATTGCGAGTCTACGCATCGTCATCACAGAAAAAAGAGTAGAATCGCAGTCGAACCTAACCCTACCTCAACTTCGTCGACTTCTGAAAGACCTTCGACACCGTTCAATGAGAAATAAATTGCAAACACTACGGCGTGCTAAAGTGCCCAAGTCTCTATCAACCTCATTCAACAGCTGGCTATATGACGGCGTCACGTATCAATCAGGTGATCCACAACTGAAAACTCAGCGAAACCTGGCTTTGAAATAATACAAGAGTAAGATGAGGCTGTCTATTATCATTGATGATATTCTTATTTGTGGTGGACTGGATAATGCGTCAGACTTTTCATTGGGGTGAGAAGACCACCTATAATAAGACTCTAGACGATCTGGATTTCGTAGATAGTATATGTCTAATTTCACACAGACTCGAAGACTTGAAGCCAAAAACCAACTAACTGACTTAACAAGCAGGCGGCGAAGACAGCAATCCAGGTAAACACAAACAAGACGGTGGTGATGAATATAACCAACTAACGTCAGCAGCAGCGATAACAACAACCAGCACCAGTCACTACCAACGGGAGAAGTTTGACGCCAGTCACTTCCTTCACTTATCTAGGAAGCATTGTTTCAACCCTTGAGGCCAGTGGAACGCATGAATATGTCAAAGTTAGCCAGAATCGGAAAGGCAAGATACACCTTCGTCAACTTGAAACAAGTATGCAAATCTTCTGCACTCACTCAGCATAAACAGCAAGATTCGGATTTTCAACACAAATGTGAAATCAGTCAGTCAGTCAGTTCTTCTATGTGGGTCAGAAACTTGGTCTGTGCGTCACGATAAGGAATTCCAACAAGTCACAGAAGACTTTTATCAACGACTGCCCACTTCGCCGGCTCCATGCTGAAGATCAAATGACCGGCCGGCCAACCAGAAAGAATTAGCAACAAGAAACTCTGGCTGGGAACAGACCAGCTAAGAGCCGATTGCTCAGCGCATATCTAGGAGAAAATGTGGATGGATTGAACATACGTTGAGAAGGCAGTAGATTGACATCGCGCGCCAGGCTATCATTCGACTGGAATCCGAATGGAAAACGCCAAGTTTGAGTGAATGCAAGGGTGACGTTAGGGAAATTTTGTCAGTGGGAGGTGATGATAGATTACGGATAATCATGTACCAAGCGGAAGACGACAGCAGAGAATAGAACAAATTAGAATGTGTTGTTGAAGCCCTACGTTTCACGTGGAACCGCAGGGAATAATAATAAATAATAAGCAATAAGCGAATCTGCTTGAGTGTAACAGATTTTGTTCTGTTTTTATTTTAAATGTACGAAATATTCTGATTAACAATAAGAAACGTTTAATTTTCAATTAAGTCTTAATGGATTTTATAATTGCTTCGAATGTTTTGAAAAACTTTTAGTCAAGGTCTGAAGTTATTGCCAAGAGAGCTTGACTTTTTATGGGGACTACTGGACAAACTGGAACCTGGTCGCAAATTACACAATTACCGACAAGTGATGAGCTTTTTCTATAACAGAACAAGACCACTGGTCACAGAATACCTACGTCAAAAACGTTATGAAGGTAGGTTACTGACAAAAGACTTTTTAACTATATCCACGCTATCCGACCATTTAACTGATTGATAATAAACATATTCAGAGATACCTATCTGTTTGACGTATTCAGTTTACGTCAGCTAGTGTTCGCAGTAGGATCTTTATTGAAGCTTCATCGCCCCATATGTTAGGACGTCAGGAATTTGGAAAAAGAAACTGATTTCGCTAGATAATTTCGGGTACTGGTGCCCTTTGTTGCACCTCATTTTCAGAAATATTACAAGAATTTTCAGTTGCTGTTACTTTAATTGCATCTTATTGTGTGGCAGTCAGTAAGGTCACATTAATGCATTCATAAGTTTAGCAAACTTTGTGTGTAAATAATTTTCGATTCCTACTTTAAAAATATTGAAAGCGTTGTATTCCATAAAAATGTTTACTATGCAGAAAATATTATTAGTTTGATTGTTGTTTACTTGTAATTACAAAAGAACAAATACGGTAACATGATCACGGCATGTTGACATAATGGTTATTTAGTTTACTTTTGAGTGTTTAACTTATTCGTGTACATTATCTTAACTCTCTGGAATCGTCACCACCATTGTTTGGCAAAAAAATTGAATATTGAATTCTGTTACTTTTTTTATTAATAACGATGATTCGGTTTGTTCTAAAACTTATTATAGAGTGGAAATTTCAGCATTTGGTACAATATTTCGTCTAATTTACTCAACAATAGCATAATGAAAAAAATCAAATATTTCATGGTATAGGTAACTATAACTGATAGTGGCAACATTTTAGTTTTAATAGTCGAAAATGCACAAAAAGTGCAAAATGATAATAACAATATTAATAACTAAAATAATAAGATGATTGAAATAGAGTCACAATATATTACCAACAACAGAAGATAAAAGAGCCACTTATTTTGTTATTTACACAGTAAGTTCTAAGTTTCACGTTTAACACTATCTCCATCACATGGAATGTGTGCCAGATAGGGTATAGCTGACATTTTGTACTTGGTTGTGTGAGCATATAGTTTCATATAATGACATATAGTGCTACCTGATAATACATAAAAGGGTAGTCGTGAAAAAATAGGGTGCCGATAGTCAAACAAGATGGATAAAGTCTATTTCTCGCATCATTTCAGGTGCCCGTCGACTACAGTAGTAACGAGTTGACCTGGGGCACAACAGTTGCTCTACTGACAACTTTTAATACCCTTTGCAAAATCAGATAGTCCCTTTTGCATAGCTCAGGAAGGACTGGGGGGCAGCAATAAAGAACAATAGTTACGATACAAGGATTAACAGATTGTAAAAGTGAGGCTTGAGTGATTCCTTATTATACCGACTTCTCAATGTAGTAGGTCAGATGGAACATCTCAGAAACCAACAAGATACGAGATAACCGAAAAAGGTTATGGGATGGAACTATCCAATTTACGCCACAAAGTGAAGGGACAGGTTCGTGTAGCGTACATTTATACCTGACGGTGAAGTTTACTGTCTGACATTTGGAAGGATTTAAGGTAAGCTCACTTGGCTCGGACCACTGACTTATGTCCGACACAAAGCTATTAAACTTTAGAAAGCCAGATCGGGACGCGGCCAGCAAGAAGAGAGTCAGGTCGTCAGTATATTCAATGACGTCGATTTCTTCCGAAGGAGACAAGTCATGTAAGAAGAAAGAAAAAGAGAGAACAGCACTCTGAGGGACTCCGACTTCAGTAAGCAAGACAGAGGAAAATTTTTTCTTATGTACAGTATACTGCATTCTGTTAGAAAGATAAGAATGCAACCAAATAACATCACAGAACTTGGTTTATATCAGCAAAAGCTTACCTAACAAAAGGCATTCCGGTACAGAGCCAAAAACAGATTTGAAGTCAAGGAGGGTGCGCTGAACATATCTGGCTCCTTTGAATAAGGAAGAAACACTATTATTATGTTGTAAGACAACAGCAGAAGCATCTAAATTACTTCTGCTTTTTCATACGTAAAATGTTTAGGGTCACTAAAACGTTTCAAGTTTGAGTAAAAGCAGTTTCTCCATTAATTTCAAAAATGGAGAGGTAATTACATTGGGTCTAAATTTAATGTTCGTAAAACTAGATGGTTTAGGTACCAGGATAATTTTTTTCCTTCCATGTGACGGATACAACATTATTGGAAGAAGAGGCACTGAAAATGCTCGTAAGAGAATGACATAAAATATCCGCACATCTTTTGAGAACAACAGCAGCTACACCATCATGATCAAGTCTTTGGGAAGGTTTAAGGGATTTGAGATATTTGGGAACATCAAGCCTATCCAAACCAAGAAAATTACTAACCTTATGATTTATATCAGTGGAAGTGATATCGGCAGCAGTATAAAGTATAAAAGACTTATTTACAGTATTTGCAGCATAAGACGGAACATTAGTGCTTTACTTACCACCATAAGTAATTTCATTAAGAACCTTCTTTGGTTATAAACAGTATTCAGGCGTTGGATTTCAGATTTGCTTGAAGCATTAATCCTTTTGAGACTGTTATTTTTCTCCCCATAGCATTCTGAGATGTAGAGAAGAGAAATGGTTACACATTTTCAGTATTGTTTGTTTCGTGCAACTGATGTCGAGTTAGAATTTAGGATAGTTGGTTATGTTAGTGATTGTGCCATACAGTAAATTATCATTAAATAGATCCCAGTTAGTGTCCTTCTACATGCATGTAAGATTATGTAGATTCTTCGGTGAGGAACATCTCTGTTACATTTTCTTGGAAAGGTGAGAGAAGACACTTGCGTATGACTTGCCTTATATTTAGGCAGCACATGAATAATACGATGAACAGGGTTAAGTAGTGGAGTACATCTGCGTGCTTCATATATTTTCCATCGTCATTTGTGAACACTAGACCAAGTGTCACGTCAAGTCTAGCAGTGAAGGTGCCAATGTTTACATGATTTAGTGATTCAAATAAAGAACACATGAAGGAATTAAAGTTTGTAGTAACTGTTGATAGAGAGTTCTCGAGGTGAGCATCGTCAAAAGCTGAATATTTGTCCTCAAAATTAGATAGATTCAAGCGGGAACAGCCAGGGGTCCATAAATAATTGAGACGAAGTGTGTTTATACTTTGGTAAATTTTTGAGATGACGTTTGACAGTAATATAGTCAATAAATTCGCTCGAGAACGTGAAACACTGTTAGAAATCGACCACCGGGAATGAACAACAGTTTTAACTCCACCTCTATACTTCTTTTTGGAACAAAGCCAATCTTATCTAAATAATGCGAAAACATTTAGAGAGACGATGTGTTGCTGAAGCCCTTTGTTCCACTCGGAACCAAATAAAACAATAATAATATTTAGTGAGACAAGAATATTATCATAAAGCGCGTGAGGCCAAGTTTCTTGTAGTATGATTATGGTCGTATTGTGACAAGTATCAGAGAATAAGAGAGACTGCAGCTATACAGTCTAGTTGGGAAGAGAACGGCAGTTTGTACTAGTGATAGCAGGAAGGGTACGAAGATGTACAAGTGTGCGTTTTAGTGCTTGTCGCCAATCCTCGTGATGATTTTCCTTAGCTTTGTTAGAAACTTGGAAGTCATTTGGTCCTTAACGTTTCAAAACTCCGTGTAAGTATAAAATGCGATTTGAGGCAATACTCTGATACACAAAGACAAATAAAACACAACAGGCTGTTTATGTTTGTTAAGCAATTAGACTTATGAATGGCACTATCAACAGCTTTTTTTAATATTTGCAAAGCATTCAGTAAGAAGGAAATACACTTTCGGGCATAATATCGACTTTTCGGTAGTTGCCTTTTGGTTCAAATATTCAGGAGGTAGATTTATTTTGGAATAAAGATAATTGTTCGCTATAATTTTTGCCACAAAATAGCCATTCAAAAGTGTTAATGAGTAAGTTTTCAACAAAAAAAGAAAGGAGTGATAGGATCTCAATTATTTAGTTTTTAATTCCACTGTCTGACTCATGAGTTTAGTCGATCAAAAGCAAGTAATTGTTATATTTTGTAGTAGCGAGAATTTATATCAGTTATGTTTGCATTTGATTACCAGTAAAAAATATACATTTACATTGTGTATTCAGAATAAGAATCTCCATTCCTACAAACAAGATGAATTCACATTATACTTTGTTAGTGGTCCGTTTTGCTATTATCTTGACGTATTTCTCTTATTGAACTCATTAACAAGAAATTTCTAGCTAGTTTTTCCACAAATTCATTTTGCTTATCATGAAAATTTTCTAATAAAGTAATGAAGTTTGAATAACGCAAAAATGATTTTCATTGTGATGGTTTTTTAATTGTTTATACTTTCGTAAGCAATGACTTATTTTGACTAACATCTGTTTTATTTTTCTACAGCCATTCGCAGTAAGTCATTGCAATAGTTTTTCAGTTAACATATGAACTGTCTGTCATATTGATGGTGGCAATTTAAGATACTTATTCATTAAATGGATTGAAATTTTATACTGACTGGGCAGTGGAGCTTAATGGCAAAACTCCTTAAACTGAGTTTAAGTTACTTCTTCATAATCATGAAAAAAACGTTGATTGCATGTGAAATCAAAACCGCTTGGAGGTCATTTAGACTAAACCAAATGTATATTTTCAGGGTTACCAGCTATTTCCCGATCACTAATTAAAGTTTTGCGTGAAACTGTGACACAGAGGGTGAAAGTTTTCTGATGACAAAAGGAAATCAGTAATAAACGAAAAACTGTATAATGGTAGTTGTTGTAAAATAATAAGACAGCGATATATATGACAACACTAGTACAACAAAAAAAATTATAAATTAATTTGTTACTCAAAAATATAGTTCACCTCATGTGCTGCTAATTTTTATATAGTATACATATAGATAAATAAGTAGGTAAGTAGGTTGGCTGATTATATGACCGCGTCTTGTATCTAAAATTGATTTCCAGTAGATCTTTAAGAAAAATCGACCTGACAGACATGTAAATTGAAATACTTCGAGGTTAAAATGCAGTCGAAGTAGTAGTAGTAGTAGTAGTAGTAGAGTTCGACTGCTAAATATTGCTGAAGCTGTTGGGTTCCATATTAAGAAGCCTAATTTGTCAGCCAAAAGAAGTTAGTTCAAACATTATCCTACCTTGGCCATCTGGGTTTGAATGATCCTGAATTTTTGTGGAATTTTCCTAATAAAACCAGGAAGTACTGGTTTTCAATGGTTCTCTAACTGATATCAGTCCGTGATCAACTCGTAAAAAACATAACTAACCCTTACAAACCAAAATATAGAATATATATATAATTGTGGAGCCAGAAGAGGAAATTGTTGAAAAGCATATTCTTTGCTCACTTATTTTGTGTTTTATAGATATTCAGATTATTTGCTGCCAGATAATTTACGCAAGTCTGTTTGAATCACTCATTCGCACATTGGAATTGGAAGAGAAATCCCAATGTTTCTTAAATTCGTGCACTTGCTTTTGAATTTGACTTTTTATGCAAAAATGGGTCTGATTGATCCATTTCATCCGAAAAATTAATACATTTCTTAGTAGGTTGTTGTTTGGGTGCTTTTTGTCACAGTGGTTTGAAATCTAGTACTAGCCTGTTACTTAATCACTACTGATAAACGATAAACAGTCTTTGTTCGTTCAGGAAATTCGTATTTTATTTGCAGCATTTATCCTAAATGAATCAGTATATTTCCAACAAAATTTTCGACAAACTTTTAAACTGAGAAGGGATTTTTAGAATTATTTCAAAACGCTGTTTCTAGTATTTTTTTGAAGGGCAGTAAATTTACCATATCACACCATCTAGATATACGCGATCCAAATCTAAATGAATTCAAACATTGGTGCAGAAGAACGAAAAAGTGTCGACGAGAACTTGAAAGGAATATGAAGAAAACATCGTATCTGATGGGAACATTTCCACCTAAGCCGCCATTAGAAGAAAAGAAAAAGGCCGAAGAAACCTTCAAATTATGTGAAAGGGCATCTGGTGTTGTACTGGATAAATGGGAAGATCTCAAACGTGCTTTTATAGATGCTGATCCAGGTGGATCTAGAAATGTAACCTGGGATCAGTTTCAGGTATGTTGTATATTAAAATCAACGAATCAGATTCTATGTACTAACCATTATGTATGAATTTTAATTTTAAATGTCCGCATGCATTTGCACAGTTCTCATTCACCTTACTATTTCTGGCATGATTACTTAAGTGGTGAAGTATAACAGATATCCACTTGAAATAGTTTAATGTTCGCTGACATTTATGATGCTTAGATTACGTGTACTCATTTTATTTGAGTTAAGGGAGTAGATACGCACACCATGAATGGATACCCAAATTGATCATATTTTAATGCTAAAATGACTAAAATCGTCTTTTCATCATAATGGGAAACAGCTACTTTCATCGGGTAAAATGTCAACGAAGTTTATACAATAAGTCTGCTTTCGATTAAAATGAAAATTCTAACGAACAATATTTTTCTTGTTTCTGGAAGCAACTAGCCTATTTATGCAATTAATTTTTATAGGTTGAAAATGAACGTTGTTAACAGATTCAGAGGATAAACTCACCAGCAGTCTCCCTAGACAAATAAACTAACTGAAAAATGCCACTGTTGATATAATAAATATAAAGCGTTAGGATTGAAGGCATTCATTCACTTTGTATACGTGTAGCCTAGTTTTAGATGACAACTCAAGGACCTGCTAAGAAACTGGGTCACAGAAGATTACATCTAAACATAAAAAGGACTGAAGAATTCAACTAAAAGTATTCTTATTCAGTTATGCTATAGTGCCTATTAAACTGTGTGCAAATTTAAGCTGCTCGTATATATATATATATATATATATATATATACTTTAACCGATGTCTGAATTTACACGTAAATAGATTCATTTCAATTTAGGAAATACTACATTCATTCAAAGTGCCTTTGGGTTACAAAGAAATTTATGACTTAGGAAGAGGATTTCAACCACGTGAAAAAGGATAGTAAGTAAAGTATCTGAATACATTTTTTCTGTCGGTCATTATTCCAGTAATGAACTGCGTCTTAAGATTTTAACGTAACATATTACTGTTACCCTCACGTCTTCATTTTATTTCAATATTATAGTGTTTTAGGTGGTAAATTTCATTCTGTAGGTACCCAGTGATATAATTTGCCTAAATATCATGCATTAAATTGAGATAATTCAGTAGTCTTCAGCAGTCAGAATGTCAGAAAAAGCCTGCAAATTGAGAACTTGGTCATCCCAAAGCGCTCTCATTTATAGGACGCATTTAGTTGTACTCAAATTCTCTGTGTTAACTTGCAATCTGGCTAAGTGAATTTACAAATCATGCGCATAAATAACTGTTATTGACGTAAAAGGACTCACGTTTTCAGGCTTCAAATGTAACAAAGATCGGAAGTCATATGACTAAACTTTTTCGTGACAAACTGGGACAGTAATGGATAACCTAAACAAAACAGGCATCAGTCAAAAGTAGAGATCACAAATTGTTTAAGCGTATTAAGAAGATGAGCTCTAAAATATTTATGTAAGCTGGATGATATTGAAAATAAAAAAGAGTGGATAAGTCTGCATCGTTTTAAACTAGGTAGTCACACAACTTTCTTGCTTCGTTAGAAAGCCGTGTGAGCACCTAGATTTGATGATGAACAATAAATTGTGCTCTAAACGTTATCAGTATTACTTTATAATACTGTGTGACTTTATCAAACTAAATGTTATCCATAATGGAACCAAATGGATTTACTATTTACACAATAGTCAAACAAATATTCTAGAAGAAATGAAAAAATGACTTACTGTATCATCTAAACAGCACTCGTCTTACTACTTTCTTGCTATTTTATAAAAGCATATTTTCTTTAGTTACGGTACTTATCGTGTTGGTTTACTCTTTCTAGTTAAACTCGTTTCTGCTCAAAATTTCGAATCCTCTTTTTTCAATAATTATCCCATAAGTAGTCAATCCCTCTAGCTCCTAACAGTTTAACAACTTATATCATTCCGAACATATGTTACTTATAGTTCCAATCATTCCTTGTCGTCGCGTAAATGTTATGTCAAAACACTTTTGTAATCTTTATTTCTTTAGTGCTCAGTTTGTAGCTAGTTGAGAAGAATCCATGAAGTGATAAAAAAATGGGCTTATATTATTCCGGTACCTTTATCATTTTCGCTTTATTCAAGTTTACTCATGGGAAGAGTAGAAACATGAAATAAACATATTTCTATGCATGTTTTTATTAACAACAGTCTTTTTTCATTTTAAGTGTGAACTATATAAGATTTTTGGAGTTTGTTTCTGAAAAGTTCTCAAGAAAAGAACCCCCACCAGATCACTATGCTGATTATCCGCATAAATTCACTAATCTAGTAAGTTATTTCACGCCAATACATATTCATAAATGTAAATGATTTCAGCATACCTAGTTTTTAAATTTTTGGGAAGTACTTTAGATGAACCAGTAAAGGTTTCCCAGACATTAACTTCATGACATTAGTTACCAAATTCAAAAAATAAGAAACTGTTTCTCTGCAGAAACTTCAGTAATGCTTTTCACATTTCTACACATAGTGAAAGTAATTGTATGAACTATTCATTTGACCTTACATTCATTACATGACATTTACTGCATTATATTCTTTTGACTAATCCCAGATATATGGCAGACTACCTTAACAGAGAGGTGGGAGTCAGAAGCAATCTGACAAGATTGGGGAAGTTTTGTAATCACACTGATTTAATTATGGGTAATAAGTTTTGTGCGTTAATTCTGTATCGCTGTGTGTTATATATCTGTTATGGGACTATATTCTACTGCAGTGCTCAAATTCTACTCTTAAGTTAAAGCCTAAATATGTTTGGCGTGTGATTCCCATCTGTCAAATATAAGATGGCAGTGATGAAGGACTTGTTTGCACCGACTACATGCTGGTAAATTGGCAGTGACATGGATGGGGATGTTGGCAAAATCACTTGTTCGAAAAGTTGCATCAGCCTTAAGGCCTTATTGCTAACAAAAATTCTGGCATGGATACATAAGGTTCATTAGGCCACTGACCAATATGAATCTTCTCTCGTGCAGATGTGACATTTTGCTACCTATCAAATGACACGTATATTGTGTATTTATTATTATTATTATTATTTCCTTTAATTCCTAGAGGAACATAGGGCTTCAGCCATGCGTCTCCATTGCGTTCGGTTCTCTGCTGTAGTTTTCACCTGGCTCCAAGTCTGCCCACACGCTTTCAATTCCTCTTCACATGATCTCCTCCAGGTCACCCTTGGACGACCAACTCGTCGCTTCCCTTTCGGGTTCCACTCGAGCAATGGCTTGTCTAGTGATGTCACTTGCTGGTTTCCTCAGAGTGTGTCCAATCCATCTCCATTTCTTCCTGCCTATTTGTTTCACGATCGGTTCCTGGTTGGTTCGCTCCCAGAGATCTTTGTTGCTGATCCTCTCCGGCCATTTGATCTTGAGTATTGAGCGAAGGCATTTGTTAATGAAGGTCTGTAGCTTGTTTGAGCTGCTCTTTGTGACACGCCAAGTCTCTGATCCGTATAGTAGTACTGACTTCACATTGGAGTTGAAAATACGGATCTTATTTTTGACGCTGAATGCTGTTGACCTCCACATAGACTTGAGAGAAATGAAAACTTGTCTTGCTTTTCCGATTCTGGCTTTGATATCCTCGTCAGTTCCTCCTGTAGTTGAGACGATGCTTCCCAGGTAGGTGAAAGAAGTTGTTTCCTTCAGGTTCCTCCCATTTATGCTGATTGTTGTCGGTTGTTGCTGTTGATGTTGGCCAGGAATCTTCATTACCTCTGTTTTGTCTATGTTCACTTGAAGTCCTATCTTTGCTGCTTCTTCTGCCAATTTGTTGCTTTTCACTTGCATATCTTCCAGTTTGTGGGAAATCAGACATATATCATCGGCGAAATCCAAATCCTCCAGGGCTTTTGTGTCGGTCCATTTTATGCCTGTTCCCTCGTTGGTTGCCGTTGTCTGCCGCATTATCCAATCAACTGCAATCAGGAAGATCATTGGTGACAGTAGACAGCCTTGTCTCACTCCCGTCCTCACTTCGAAGGATTCCGTGAGCCTCCCGTTGTGGATTACTTGGCATGCAGCGTTGTCATACAGCTGTTGGATGAGATGTATAATTGTCGGCGGCACCCCGTAGTAGCGAAGTAGTTGCCAAATCACCTCTCGATCGACGCTGTCGAAAGCTTTCTCAAAATCGATGAAGTTGAGATAGAGAGGTGACTGCCATTCCAAACTTTGTTCAATGATAATCCGTAGGGTGGCGATTTGGTCAATGCATGACTTGTTCCTCCTGAATCCAGCCTGTTCCGGACGAAGTTTTTCATCTAGGGCTTGTTTAATTCTCTCCAGGATGATGCGACATAGTATCTTGCTTGGAATGGACAGAAGCATAATTCCACGCCAGTTTTTACATTGACTCAAATCTCCTTTCTTTGGCAGTTTGAATAAGTATCCGTTCTTCCAATCCTCGGGTACTTTGCCCTCTTTCCACACCTTCTCTAGTAGTGGCGTCATCAATTCCGCTGTTGTCTCTGGGTCTATTTTCAAAGCTTCTGCTGGGATTCCATCTGGTCCTGGCGCTTTCCCAGCTTTTAGCATCTTGATGGCATTCAGGACTTCGGATTTCGTCGGAGGGTCGATGTTCATTGGTAGTTCTGCTTCCGTTGTTGGTATTGTTGGACGCGTTGTAGGTGGCGGACGATTTAGAAGTCTTTTGAAGTGTTCAGCCCAGTGCTTCCTCTGTTCCACTTCTTTGGTGATTGACTTTCCATTGTCGTCCTTTATTGGCTTAATCTGTGTCGAACTTTTGCCCGAAAGGTGCCTAGTTGTTTGGTATAGTGTAGCGAGGTCTCCTTTGCCTGCAGCTTGTTCTGCTTCGTTTGCCATGGTTTCACAATATTTTCTTTTGTCTTCCCTGGCACTTTTCTTCACTCTTTTGTTCAGTGCATTGTAGCTTGCATTCAACTCCTGCTTCTGTTGCTCGTCGGTGCACTGGATAATCTTTTGTTTCGCCACCCTTCTCTCTTCTATTAGTTTCCAAGTGTCCGTAGAGAGCCACTGTTTGTCCTGTCTCTTTTTTCTGCCTAGGACTTCCATGCAGGTTTGACTCCACACTGTTTTCAAGTTGTTCCAGTGCTTTTCGACGCTGACCTCTTCGCTAGTGTTGATTTGTGTCTCGGCTTTTTCCCTTATGTTTGCAATGAAGATGTCCTTTGCGGCCTGGTCCTTCAGCTTTTGAGTGTTGAACTTGGCTTGTGGTCTATCTGCAGCTCCTGTTTCCCTGAAAGCTTTTAATTTGATTTGGATTGTCCCTTGTACGAGGTAGTGGTCTGAGCCAACGTCTGCTCCTCTTCTTGCTCTTGTGTCCAGTAGGCTGCGTCTCCACTTCCTCGATATTGTGATAAAGTCAATTTGGTTTTTGGTTCGCCCGTCTGGTGACACCCATGTAGCCTTGTGGATATCTCTGTGCTTGTAAACACTGCCACCAATCACTAGTTCGTTGAAGGCGCAGAAGTCGGCGAAGAGTTCTCCGTTTTCATTCATTTCTCCAAGAGCTTCTCTACCCATGATGAGTTCTCTTCCTGCATTGTCTGGTCCCAGTTTGGCGTTCATATCTCCCATTAGTATTTTAATGTCGCCAGCTGGAGTATTGTCTATTGCTGCCTGTAGTTGTCTGTAAAATTCTTCTTTCGTTTCGAGGTCTGCGTTGTTGGTGGGTGCATAACATTGGATTATTGACACTTTTCTTCCTTTGGAGTTGAATCTGGCGGTCATTATCCTGGACGAGATCGCTTCCCATTGCATCAGGGCTTTCGTTGCCGTTGGTGACATCATGATAGCCACGCCCTCGGTGTGCGTGTGGTTATCTTCTGGGTGACCGGAGTAGATCACTGACTCTCCCGTTGATAATTTGGTGAGTCCACTTCCATTCCATCTGCTTTCACATATTCCCAGCACTTGGATTCTGTATCTTTCCATCTCGCTGGCGATCTGGGCAGCTTTGCCAGTCTCGTACATAGTGCGGACATTCCATGTCCCCACACAGACTTTTTCTTTTGTCGCAAGGAGATTGCTCATGGTGAAGTTTCTGTAGCAGGTTTGTTTACAGGGTGGGGTTGCTGGCCTCACGCCTGAGTTTCGTCTTCGGGTACCTGAAATGGAAGAAAGGTTAGTGTTGCGTGACCGCAGAGCCCAGGGGACATCTGCTTGAGGCCGGTCACACGCGGCCTGGTGTGTCTCAGTAGTGTACTTATCACTTCTGCCCTGTGACATGGCAGCAGAAAGCGCGGTCGTTGTTAATCCGGGCCACGGCCGATCCGGCATGATATTTCTTGGATTTGTTGGGTTCATGGGTTTGGATTGATGAATGATGGCGACTAAGTCCAGCCCCCACTGATACCGTCGCCAATGTATCAGTAGGTTGTGAGGTTTGAAAAATTTCGTTGGCGTCCGCTGCTACTGTCAACGGAGCTACTCAAGGAGCGGTGTGACGACCCAAGTTATCTTCTACTGATACCGTCGCCACAGTCATACCAGTAGAAGTCCGGTTAAGCTGCCGGTCAGCCTCGGGATCAAGCAAAAAAAAATGGAGAAAACCAGCAGAACATCAAAAATTCCATAATTTCGCAACGGTAAAGCCTACAGGGACGAGACAGGTACCAATCGATTTGTCTTGTTGAGAGGAATCCAATGGTATATAAATCAGAGGGTAAAAGCTATTCCTAAGAAAAATAATCGAATTTTCCTTCCTAGCAGTCTCTGCCCCCCTACTGCCCTATGGTTGGTAATGCCCCCTAGCTACATACACAACGGCAAACAACCTGAGGTCACGGAGCTAAAAGTGTCAAGAGAACAGCCAGCGGCATGAACTCTGAGCCTAGAAACAGGTTTCCCCTATAGCCTTTGAAAAATTCCCTATTCGGCTGAGGAGAAGCTATAAGGTGCGAAACCGGTACCAATAGGTAGATCTCGTCGAGAGCTATCCATTGATATATAGCTTCCCTAGGTCCTAGCCTCCCTAATAAAATTTCGGCAGCATGTCCCCTAAGGGCACTAGCCCAGACAAGACAAGTCCCTATTCGGCTGAGGAGAAGTTACAAGGTTCGAAACCACTGTCTAAAGATAGATCTAGTCGAGAGCTACCGATTGATATATAGCTTTCCTATGCCAAAGCATCCCTAAACAAACTTAGACCGTATGGTCCCTAAAGCCCTAGCATAGTAAACATCACTCTAAAACCTGGCCTAAACATGAAAGCTAATAATAAAAATAAATAAAAATAAATAAAACTTACCAAATAACTCCATTGGCGAAGATTGGAAGCCACCATAGGCCTCCAAGTGACAGGGGCTGGCCGTAAGAAACCAGCCACCCGTCCCACGCCATGCCACAAATTTAACCGTATATTGTGTAGCTGTTACATAATTTCTACAGTGTGTATATGTCATAGCCATGGAATGAAGAAACTGGACGTTTTTGACCAAAGGTACCTTCATCTAGTCTTTCATGTTAGATTGTGCTATATGGTTAGTAACATTATGATTAAGCTTAGAGTCTCAGATAATGAGGGAAAGTCAGTCTACAAGCATTGGAATGATCAGAGCATGGGTTACGAATGGGAGAACATCGCCTTCTACAATGAGCGATATAAGCTGAAATAGGACCAGGTTAAACATATTTATGGGTGACCTTACCGAAACGTGCCAGCAATCCATCAAGTCTACAAATGTTGGTTTGACTAAAGTAAGGAGATATACGCTGTCTAGCTGCAGCACTCGTAGTGATATGTTTAGAACATAATGAAAAATAGTGGCTGTATAAGGAGTGCGATAATCAAGCATCTCGTCAATACTGGTCATTCAATCAGTGTACGAAATTTTAGTAGGTATTAATACCATACGATGCGAATGACAGTTTACTTCGTGGCATTTTTCACTCAGTGGATTGCAACTACTTGCAAATTCCTGGCACATACTCTCTTACTGGTGTGTTTCTTGTCCTTTGCTTGCTTAACTGCAGGTATACTTGAACAAAAGGACGTCCACCAAATCTAATCTCATATATATATATATATACATATATATATATGGATCACTTGTTTAAGTATTAAAACTTTTCGGATAAGGTTTGTGAAGCTGGTCAGACTGAAATTTCTGATCTTTAATAAGTATTACCAAATGAAATAAATGCCTCATTATCAATATACTTCTCATCAACAAAGGAAAACCCATAGAACGTTGTGACTACCAGAAATCTACAGTTTCCAGAACAACTAAGTCCCTCCTTTTAATCAACAAACATAGAACCACAACGAAAATGTTAATTTCTGTATTGACTGCCTCAGTGTTGGAATGTTCTACTGAAGTCTGACTACTGTAACTTATAAACCCTGCTTTACATCTTTTGCATCATACTCGGATACTTTTATTTTAGTACCTTTTCACTAACGATTTACAACTTCCTAAGCTGACTGTTGTAAAATGCTCTCGACGGAAACATCATTTGAGTGTACATTCCCATTTACAGAAGTAATATTATGGCTGATTAAAAATGCCCATTAAAATTTTCAAAAGAACGGTTACTGAACAAAGAATACTCTTTTCGATAACTTCATAATCAGGTTTTACAGTTATATATATATATATATATATATATATATAAACATATATTAGTGAATGAATTAGTGTTATTAACAACATTAATGTTTAAATAACATCGAATCAATAATGTCAACAGATTACAGTTAAATAGCATCAGTATAACAATAAACTGAATGTCAGAAAAATTTTGAGAGATAATAATACAAATTCATAAATTTGTAGTTTCTACTGAAGGCCGGGGCAGTAGTAGTGGCTGGACTTACTTCTTCTGCACGCAAAGCACTGGTTGTTTCATGCGAATTGTGATAGCCTCTGCTGTTTGAAGCATGCGGTTCATCAGTGTTTTTGGCAATTTATTTGGTACCCGTTAAATGATAGAGAAGGATTCTTCAATACTGGCTTTGTAGCCGGTTTGCACCAGGTGGTCTAATATCGAACTGTTGAAGTTTTTTACTACGACTTTACTTAGCCATACTGGGAGATGTTCTTGAGCATGAAAAATCAAGTTCCTAGAGCAACGGCCAATATAAATTGCTCCACAAGCGCAGTTGAATTGGAAGATACAATTGGAGATGGATAGTCTAGGTACTTCATCTTTCAGTCGAGGAATCACCGTCGATCATGTAGTAAAAATGACTTGTAGTTTGCCAACATTAAAATTTCTTTGAACTGATTTTTTTAATTTCTTCGTAATTATTTCCCTTTGTATATAGTCGTTGAATTAAAGTCATATATATAAAGGCTTCTTGTTAACGGATAGTGAGTAGTCTTTTTTAGCTTTTTTTGTCATTGCCTTTCTTGATAATTTGGTCAGGATAGCTATATTTAATCTGGGTATCATACACAACGCTTAGTTCATTCTAATTACTTCTTCTGAGCATACAGATGTAACTCTGTGGCTGAGGGTCTCTACTATAGAGAAACGAAGCTGTGAAAATGTGTATATTGTCCTCTCCATGTACTATGCAAATTTTCTATGCTACCATCTGGTTTTCTTGTAAGGAAGACATCCAGGAAGACAATTCTGTTTTGGGATTCCTCTTCTCATGTGAATTTCATAGCCGAATGTACTTCATTGAATTCAGTCATTATTGTTTTCCTATCCGAATTAAAGACACAGATAGGTATTTTTAATACAACAATGAATCGTTTCCTTTCGTTCAGTTTTGAGCCTTTTTGGATGAACAGGATTTATATGAACCTAAGGTTTTACTCCTGAATTTCATGAAAATGGTTTTAAGCGTCTATTGTTTTGTAGTAATACACAACTAAAAACTAATTTATTCCATTACTCTTATGTCTTAGCATTTGCCTCATTAAAAATATTCATAGGTACTTCGTATATTAATGAAGAAGCTTTGATAAATATATAAATGAATGGTGTTATTGTTTCTTTTTTCAGAGAACAGGAGAAATTCTGACTCTAAGCGACACATTGCGATTTATTCGTGATATTGTAAGTTGGCTATTTAAATTTGAGTGCACTGAATTCGTCAAAACAACTAAAACATTTCTTTGAATGAGTGTAGTTCTAGTTAATTTATTCTTTACTGAAAAAAGGCCACTTAACTTTTCAAAAACTAAAATGATGGAGATTGTGGCATTCAAAATAATTATGCATCCATAGATGTAGCATCAATCAACATTATTATGCGTACAACAGGTATCCATATTTCAAATGTACGGCTGTGCACTGATACATATTAGTCATAAGAACTCAATTCAGTATATAGAATGAGGTCATAAATCGACAACACATTTAGCTGATTCCCATATAGACTTTTAAAGTAATCTACCCTTTAGAAAGCGAATTACAGATTGATTACTGGAGACAAAGGTTGCAAGCTGAGCATATAGTAATCCACTAACCTTCTACCACTTTTTAAAAAGAGAAGTATTTTGACTGAAAACTAGATGGTGAGTAACTACTTTCATGTATCTGGTCCTTTGTTTGTTTAGTCAACTATGCAATGTGGCCACCATTATGATGTACCCAGAATTATTGTTATAAGGTGGTTGAAAGCGATTGGTAGAAAGCCTTGGACCTAGGTTTCGTGCTTGTTGTCACTCGTCAACAAGGTGTATCTGCAACCTTGAAGGGACTCATTTACCCTGTAAGGTTTGGAACCCGCGTCTCAAAGTCCTTCAGTCACAGACGTTACCGCTGAGCTATTTGGGCTGCACTTAACAAAGGACTAGACATATAACACTGGTTACTTACTACCTGGTACCCAATCACATTATTTAATACGGTCCTACAGGAGGTCAGTCATTAGCCCGAGTAGCTTAATGGTGACGTCTCTGATTTCATTATTGGGTTACACGGACTCGAATCTCCGGAGAGACATGGGTTCCTTCAAGGTTGTGGGCACTCCTTGCTGACGAGTGCCAACAAGCACCAAATCTTGGTCTAAGTTTTCCCGCCGATTGCGTCCACCATCCAGGAATAACCAATAGAAAAAAATGTTAGGTAATATTATATTTAAGGGATGTCAGACATAATCGACAAGAAAATTGGAAAAGCTGCCATCATCTGTCTTAGAACTGTTTATCATTATGTGTTGTCAAATAGTTAATGCTATAATATTTGATTAAGCACTATTATTCTTAGTTAAAAAGTTAAAGACAGCCTCAGAACTCTGACTGAGTGCAAAGTTCCTTTCCACAGATCATCGGAAAGGGTAAGGCATAAATCTCAGAAGACAGAAGTTACTGAAAACATGAAAATACATTTCGTTGAAATATAAATGATAAAATGAAGTACAGTCATTTCATTACACATAATATTCATAAACTATATCGTGTTCCAATAACAATAACAAAAATTTGTTATCATACTGTTGTTACTTTATTTTTCATTCCAACTGCTACATAGTGCTTTAAAAAATACAGAACATTACGTGAAGCATTTAGAAAGTTAGATGTTAGCAAAGAAGGAAAAATATCTGTGCAAAAGCTGAATGACCTTTTGAAAGAAAATGGCTTAGTTTTATCGGAAAATGATGAATACCATTTGATGGCTGCATGCGATAAAAACATGGATGGTTTGATTGACGTAAAAGAGTTCCTACAACTTACACCAAAAATATAGAATAAGAATGTTATATAATATACGACTGAAATTCAAAACCTTTCTGATCATCAGCCGTATAACAGGCTGTTAAAAATGAATCGGGAGATATCTTCAAATTCATTTTTAACACAGAAAAACTTTATTTAAATTCATTTCTTATTATCGTCTATTTTATCTCAACGAATTCACCACAGAGATATGTTAGTGGGGACAAAAATGTGCATTTTCAGCAATTAGATAAACAGCCTTTATTCTTACTGTGTAATAAACCTAAAAGAGTAAAAATGTGTATTATCAACCAATACATACATTCTTCAGAGAAACTGTTTTCTACTCAGCAGTTCAATGGAAAATGCATTATTTTTCTTTTAAAGTTTACTATACACTCATGTATCTACACACAAACACTTTAAATAGCAATAAAGTGAAACACTTGAGTTCATTAATTGATTTTCTGTGAGTTGTTAATTCACTTCATTGAACACTCCATCTCTTGACACATTGTAATCTATATACACTTGAAACTAAAATAAGGAAGAAAAGTAAAAATGCTAAACAAGTTGTAAAACAATACAAGTGAATATACTTTAGTTCATTAATATTAGTCAGCTCTGCAGTAATAAACAGTGTAACTTCATAATGAAGTAAAACATGAAGATGAATTATATTATGATATATGTATATATCTTAATTGAACCGAAGTTCTTGTGAAAAGTGTAAAATATTATCACATATAGCAATACAAATAGAATTACAATATGGCTGAAGCACTTATAAAAGTTAGTGATAATTGTGTAACAAGATAAGTTAAAATGCAGCGAGTAGAATTGAAGAGTGTAATATTGAACTACAAAAGGAAAATCAGTCGAAATAATAATAACGAAATGTTGCAAGAGAATAATCAAAAGATTACCGGGTTGACTGAAGTCCAACGAGCGATGCGTTTCGGACATAACTATCAGGTTTCAAATGTTTATTGAGAATTCTACAGCAAACCGTTTTGTTTTCAATGCGCCTACTCCATGTCTTATCTGTCATGTGTTTGGTGATTAGTTTCGTCGAACTATTTACCCCCTGTAATACATGTTCAAAAATCCTGATGTGGGCATATATACATATATATATATATATATAGAGAGAGAGAGAGAGAGAGAGAGAGTTGAAGGCAGCAAATGTGAGATATTGTCCATTTGCTGACCTTACCAGTGGGCGTGCTGTTCTAAGGAAAGAGGATAACTTCGCACAGGGATACGTCCCGGTCAGTGATGTACTTAATCGCTTACTTATCACTCTCTCAATATCATCAACTTTGAAGTCAAGGTTTCTCTGACCCTAATTTGATTTAGTTTATTAGATTCCTTTTTGTCATATTTGCTGATGAATCCGTGTGGTAACCAGAACTTTTCTCATATTTCCCAAATAACGTTTGTTCACAATCAGTTATATTATCTGAACACAATGATTTTCATCCACAGCAATGTTTCTTTATCAGCGTTCATTTATAGTTGATTGGGTTAGGGCTTCTGACATTCGAAAAAAGACCATTCCATATATTTGCGCGATTAATTTGTATTTTGTAAACTATATCTATTCTTCTCTCCTGTCTAACATCAAAAGATTTATTCTCCTGACTACTTTGTGTTCCACTGTGAAATTATTATGTATCATTATCCCCCTGGAATCCAAGTGGAACATAGGGCTTCAACAAAACATTCCAATTTGTTCTGTTCTCTGCTGTCCTCTTCCGCTTGGCCCACGATTACCCATAATCTATCATCACCTCCAACTCACACAATCTCCCCACGTCACCCTTGCATTCACTCCAACTCGGCGTTTTCCATTCGGATTCCAGTCGAATGATAGCCTGGCGCGCGATGTCAATCTACTGCCTTCTCAACTCATGTTCAATCCATCCACATTTTCTCCTACATATGTGCTGAGCAATCGACTCTTAGCTGGTTTGTTCCCAGCCAGAGTTTCTTGTTGCTAATTCTTCCTGGTTGGCCGGCCAGCCATTTGATCTTCAGCATGGAGCCGGCAAAGTGGGCAGTCGTTGATAAAATTCTTCTGTGACTTGTTGGAATTCCCCATCGTGACGCACAGACCAAGTTTCTGACTCACATAGAAGAACCGACTGACCAACTGACTTCACATTTGTGTTGAAAATCCGAACCTTGCTGTTTATGCTGAGTGAGTGCAGAAGATTTGCATACTTGTTTCAAGTTGACGAAGGTGTATCTTGCCTTTCCGATTCTGGCTAACTTTGACATATTCATGCGTTCCACTAGCCTGTGGTTGAAACAATGCTTCCTAGATAAGTGAAGGAAGTGACTGGCGTCAAACTTCTCCCGTTGGTGGTGACTGGTGCTGGTTGTTGTTATCGCTGCTGCTGTTGGTTGGTTGGTTATCTTCATCACCTCCGTCTTGTCTGTGTTTACCTGGATTCCTGTCTTCGCCGCCTGCTTGTTCAGCCAGTTTGTTGGTTTTCGCCTTCAAGTCTTCGAACTTGTGTGACATTAAACATAAGTCTAGTAGACAAAATCTATTGAAATTCAGATACAGTTTATTCCGGAATTCTTCACGATGAATGTACGTTTGCATATTTCTGTCTGTTGTTCATTCGATATTGTGGCAGCACTTGGTGCCATTAATTTAACTCTTTTCTGTGACCAGAATTATAGAGGTTATACACAAACACAATTCCATCAGATCGTCTTAAAATAGCTGCTCTACAGATATTAATTATATCTAATGTAATATAATCATTTTGTAAAGTTTTAAATAAAAACGGGTTAGCGAAGGTCAAAATTCATTACTTTCTATACACGTAGTATGGAAATCTTAGTCTTAGTCCAAAATCATAATATTACATTTGAGTGCTTTGATTTCAAACTATGTGACATAAACAACAAGTATCATTTCTGCTATCGGACACCAATAAATGTTTCGGAATAGATACTGAGGAATTTTAATTGGGATGAAAATGCATTTATATATTTTCATGTGATTTGATAACCATCTAAGAATGCGTTCTCGTAGGCACAGGCAGAGTTAAAATGGTACCCGAGAGAAGCCTTACTGCGGTTAGTATTATGAATTATTGACCCTCATTGGTGGTTTTATGAAGATGGCTTCCATAATTACTGAAACCGTCTCAACAACAGTAAATTTTCTTTGATGACATTATAAAATGCTTTTAGAATTCTCATCAGACTGCTTAACTAAATCTGTGCAATATAGTTCTACGAGTTGATCACGGACTGATATCAGTTAGAGAACCATTGAAAACCAGGGAGTACTGGACAGCTGCTGTTTCATCCTAGTTTGGGAATCATCGGCAGTACGCACCCACTGGGATTCGAACCCGGGACCTTCCGGTTACAAGGCAAGCTCGTATACCATTCAGCCACTGGGACCCGATTCAATGGCTCATGAATTCTAACTTCTACCAATTCGTGATTTTAGCGTGACCCCAACTATTGTCGTTGGTGGAAATCCATCCACACGTGACTTCTAATTGGACCTCACTGGTCACGACTTCTCACTAGAACTGCAGGAAGCTCCAACCTGTAGCAAGTCACTAGCGAGCATCAGAATAATTTTCTATAGTTTTTGGTTTGTAAGGATTAGTTATGTTTTACGAGTTGATCACGGACTGATATCAGCAGCTGTCCAGTACTCCCTGGTTTTCAATGGTTCTCTAACTGATATCAGTCCGTGATCAACTCGTAAAACATAACTAATCCTTACAAACCAAAAACTATAGCAATATAGTTCACCAATTATTTTGTCTCTGGTGCAGTTTTAACGAGACTCTGGAAGCAGATATTCCAAAGGGAAAGATTTATACCTAATAGAAATAAAATGGTGATCATTTTACAGTGAACAAACTTGTATTAGAAAGAGAATAAATGCGAAATGATTACTGAAAATGTTTAGATTTTCGAGAAAGCAATGAATAAGTCTCTTCCTATGTGAAGGATTGTGAGTTAATTTTTTAGTAGTCCCAAACAATCAATACTCATTTTAAAATGTTTCGCTGTCACTCACAGAACACGCCCACTACTCTCGACTCTCCCCGTTTCACACTGAAACTGTGAAACCACTGGTAAAACCAGAAAATACAAATAGACCACATTCCTTGGCTAGAGATTTATTCAACACTTTGCTCAAGTCAGGTGAAGCAGACTAGGCCTAAAATATTGAGTGGGAAGGTAAATCGGTCTATCTAGATGTGATGTTTGGCTGATAAAAGTTGCTGGAATTATCTACGTACAATCAGCAATTGCCATCCTAAACTTAAAAATGTTTGGTGAAGTAGGAATAAACAGAGAAAGGGGTAATGATGATTACGCCATACAGTTATGAGCTTTCAGTTTGATTCATGTATAAAGTTGCTTAGCTGCCTTACTCAGTCTTCTTGAAACTTAGGTAAAATGGTATAACATCTTTCAGCTTACCTCACATTTATTCATTCCTTAGCATATTGAAAATTCCTAATACCTTTTCGAATATTCATTGAATTTTCCTTTCTTCACTCATTTATATGTTTGTTTATTTTGGTATTTTTCTCCGTATATACTTTCACTTCTGCGTGCCATTTTGAAAGTTTCAGTTTTTCAGGCAACTTTCAGCAAAGTTCACTTTAATTTATCAGATTGTTAGTAATGGCTTATGGATGGTTATTTCATTCTCGTATATTTTTGTTTATAACTGAGTCTATGAAAAAACATTTATTTTCCAGAGTGTCGATAAAGCTGTCCAACAGTACCAATGTTCATTTAACTTCTAACTCGTGATTATTTACAGTTTGCACAATGGTCTTGTGTTATTCGGCTTATTGATCATATTACACATGTATCTGATGACTACTTAAGGTCAGAAAAATTCTGTAGCCTTTTTACGTTGGCTGATTTGTTCAACACTATAGATGTCATGTTATGCTGAGACTTGACTTTTATCATTATGAGCTTCTAAACAGTGGAGATTAGTTTCAGCGCTACCTCTGTATTCTGACAGTAAAACTGATAGTGTTAAATACCCTATAAAGAAAACATCGTGAATTATATGCAGTAGAAGAGTATGCTTGTAGATGTGGCTTTATGCTACTATACAACAGATTAAGTTTCATACACAATATATTGTAATATTCAAAGATTATTATTATAACTGTCGGCAGGCATGTCGGACTGTGAAAATTTGGACTGTTGCCTATTGTTTCATGGTTTTGCAGCTTCAAATAATTTCAACATTTCGTCACAAAACGAACATAAAAAGATTCCGTCTGCCTATTTCTTGCATCAAAATAGTTTACGCCAATCGCTTCATTAGACACACATATTAGTTCCATATTAGATAAGTTTATTTTAAATGTCACACTCTGGTGCAATATTAACAACTTTAATTCATCCCATCCAGAAACGGTATGGATAGATTTAGTTACATGTTTGTGTAATCAGCCCAAAAGTCTAACTAGTAAATGAGCAGGTTCAAGTAGTGAAGTCAAACAAATGAAGGAAATATTACTAGTGGATTACTACCCACCAGAATCTATTCAGAAGTATATGAAGAACCACAGAAAAAATAAGATTGATAAAAATAACGAAAATACAGGAGAAAGTAATACAGAATAAGCAACCTCTGTAGTACTGCCGGACAAAGAAGGAACGTCAGAGGCCTTCCGTTGAATTTTCAATGGGGCTGGGATTAAGGTGGCGTTTTAACCAACCAAATCTTTCAGAGATAAACTTTGTCTGTCGGCTTAAGTACCCAATATATCCAAATGAGAAAAATAATATAATAAAGGTTCTTGTATTTCACAATGAATGAAAAACAAGATATTGTTTTTAGTGACGCTTCCCTACTTAATGCTAATAGCTTTATCAAAGTATTATTAAACCAGAATTTACAAAATCTCAGCTTATATATAACAACTTGATCATGGATTGTCAGCATTGGGTAATTTTTACGTTGTCGAATTGGCCAAATGATAAAGATAACAAAACCACGTGTAGATTGTTGGATCTGATAAGAATGTAAAATTATAAAAGCAGAGTGTGTTTACCTAATGAAATTTTGTTCTGATTCTATAACGTGTAGATGATTCTTCAAGCTTTTCTAGTTCAACTGGATTTTTTGGTTACTGAACAGGTGTTCTACGGTGTTCATTTCTTCTGATTTTGATTTTGTGAGATGTTTGTCCCGTGAATATCTCATCACATTCCAAGCATTTTATTTTATAGACACAATTAGATAGAAAATCTTTAGGGATTTGTTCTTGTATATGCACAAGGTTGCTTCGCAGTGTGTCTGGTGTTTTGAAGAAAAATCTGATTTCAAGTTTGTTGAGTACTGTTCTGATATCGTCTGACGTCTCTGCTCTGTATGGAATGACGACTGTTGAGGTCCATGTTTTCGGAATACGTTTTCGACCATACTTAGTGTCATTGTTGATTATGTTGACGAAGTTCTCTGGGTAGTTGTTTTGCTTGAGAGTCTCAGTAATTTTTATATTTTTTCCTTCTCATCCGTTGTCAAAGGGTTTGCTCGTCTTAGAAGACCCGAAACAACTAATACCTTTGCAACACCATTTTTCTGTCTATATAAATTCTCTTTAAATGTGAAATAATTACTTTCTAGACAGAACTTCAAGCTCTTAACTATTTAACTGGAGTCCAGTGAACATCTTTGTGATAGTGTTGTATCTGATTCTAGTAGACTGGAAATGATATCAAGACTTTCGTTAATAGGGATACTAGTATATAATGAGTTAATATCATAGCTTAGCATAATGTCTTCTTTATCAATTACTCTGTGTTCTATTTGGGATTTGAAATCATATGAATGTGTTACAAAATTTTGAGTGTCCTTTTGCAGTGGTTGTAGTATCGAAAATAAGTATTTGGAGATGTTGTATGTCCCTGAGTTGGTGAAACCTTCTACTGGTCTTAATGGAACTGCGGGATTATGTATCTTTGGTTGACCGTAGAATCTTGAACTTACATAAGATTTTGGTTTTAGTGTAAGCCAGAGAGAATTTCCAACTTTGTTTTTCATTTCTTGAAGGAGTCTGTTTGCATTTAGTTTCATTTTGTTGAATTGGGCAGATTTCGTCTTTTCTTCAATGATTAAGTGTGGTCCTTCAAATAGGTGTTAAATCGCCTTCTTTTACAATCATTCCTGTTCATAATCGCAGTGACGTTTCTCTTGTCGACTTCAGTTATAACGATGCTTTTATCTTTCTTCAAATTTCTGAGGGCTTCATATTCTTGTTTAGTGAGATTAGATGGTATGTTTCGTTGTGTCAATAATATATGTGATATATTCTGACGTTCAGATTTTGAGTCTTCAATGGTGAACTATTGTAGAGCAGGTTCTATCATAGGTGTTATTTCCTCGACCGATAATGACTTTCCAGTGGTATTGAAATTCAAACCTTTCTGTAGTTATGAGATTTAACTTTCGGTTAGTATCTTGCCTTTACCAAATGGCCAATATGACAACGTAAAAATTACCCCATACTGAGAATCGATGATCAAGTTGTTATATATAAGCTGAGATTTTGTAAATTCTGGTTTAATAATACTTTGATAAAACTATTAGCATTAAATGACGAAACGTCCGTAAAAACAATATCGTCTTATTTTTCATTCATTGGGAAATACAAAAACCTTGATAATTAGAAAAAGATGTGGACAGCGAAAAATAATTTCTTCGGACTATTTATTCTCATAAGCTGTGCAATGGTAATTATATTTAACAAAGAATTCATAAAACTAATCAGATACTAGTAAAATTTGTCCACGAAATTGTATTACATAATATGAGGAGTAACCCAGAAGGGGATGACTAATCGGAAATTAGAAAAGGTAGTTAAAATTGGGATGACGCAATTAGTGTGAGAAAATGACTAATCAACTTAATTGTGTAGATTAGACAAACCCTAGTGGAAGAATGAAAAAGTGTTTTTACAAAATCTGTATGAAAATCTAGTTTAATATTCGTCATTTCATCTGTTTTACCTGTTCAGGTTACACACCACATATGATCAGTTATGTATATGTTTTACGCACTTTAATGCAATGAAAGTTGTGAGAACATTGTTGGTGTTTCTCTAATTTATCAAAATTTAATTCTTTTATTTATCTCGTGCTCTGTTTAACTACTGCGGTTAATAATTTTACACCGACTGTCTCTCACATATGTTTTCATCTACGTGTTTTTTATGTTTGAATTATTAGTTCTCATCTTTATATCTCTGTTCACACAAAGACGTCGTCAGTATATGAACTATTTTTCATCCTATTACTAAGCTAACCGAATGAATTAAAGTATGATGTGAGACACTTCAGGAAGTTATGATATGACATGGCTTAAAAGCGGTTAGTTATGTTGTGTCAGCTGAACGTATCACTTGTTTAGCAAAGGTTATCACCATAATTTATGTACTGCTTTTCTGAAAATTTTTAGATGTAATCTCGAAAATATTCCGGAAAGGAATTATTCTATACAGCCCATTAAACTTAAAATGCGACACGTTGTAGTTAGAAATCTCTCTGTTTCTTCTTTAAGCGAAAATGCTAGCCATTACAAGTAATGCTTACGATTATGCTACGATATTTTAACCTGAAAATTAATATTGTTACAACTAGTAAAGTAAACCACGACTAAAAGGAAACAAATTCAAGAACACGATTTAAAGATTTCTGTTTTTAGATGAAAATGCGGTTCATCAGTAGGGAAATTATATATGATAACATTCTACGTGATTTTAAATAATGTATTGCATGATATCAAAGTTGATTTACATATAAACAATCAAGTTTTACAAATATCAGTTAGAAGAAAGGTTGATTTAGTAGGTAACTGTTATTAATCATCCAGAAGGTTACCTGGTCTTCAGTAATTTCTATGAAAATAAAGTTCATCTGTACTAGTTGACAAGAAATCAATTCAGAAAAGGAATTACAATATTATGGGAAAACCACCACGCATCGAATCTTAAATGGTCTCCGTCTTTTCTTAGGAAATGTAAGTCACCTCTTTTGTCAAGTGTTTGAAGACCTAAACGATCCTGAAATGTAAAGATTTATCAAACCATTACTCTTTAGAACTGCTAAAGTGCTTAATACTTTTATTCGAAAATTATTAAATTTCATTTCATCTGTGAAACAGTATGATAATGTCTTTCGCACACAAAACCATCTATTTATTAATAAACTGTTAAGAATTAAGATGTTTGCCCATAGCACAACTGTTATATAAGCTGAATACAGGGAGTCCAAATCAGAAGATAGAAAGAGTATGCTGCATAGCAGTCTTTTGTTTTGAAGAAATATTGCTAAGACTAATTTTAGTTACCGCAGATTCAAAATAACATCTAGAAGTTGGTTGTTGATGTGCTATTATCTAAAAGATATAATTCTTCTATGTATTTTTTGAGCATCGATCTCTTCGAAAGATGCATTCAACAGCTGGTAATCCTTTTCAGCGAAGCAGTATATAATCCTTTCATAGATGACTAAGAACATTAAGATTTTCTGACACAAGTTTTAAAAATTTGAGGGATAACAGGTTATATTTAAGTCTTTTACTGCTCCATTTAAATGTCTATCTGTCTATTTTCGACATAAAACTTTGCATTGATGTGCAGCGGTTCAAGTCACCACACTCCATGTAGCAAACAAAGCAAGAGAAAAAAGTAGAAGAAATGCATAATAGAGACAGTAGACAGGGATGTGAGACAAAAGGAATATTAATAACGAAGAACAACATAGTTTTATTGGAAATAATAAGTCACAAGGAGTAGATGCATCTGCGCCACTGAGAATGATTTTGAGCCATGTCACCAATAGTTTCCAACCATTGGTTTTTACTATCCCGAGGACCCCAACGAGGAAGTCTACACCTCCATACGTAGCTGGCTTAAACTGACTGTTGTGGATTTCATTGACTGATGGCATGTTTTGCTTTGACCACCACTGGCTCTTTTCTAAGCTGATCCTGTTTCAGATAACATTGTCCGTCGAGGAAGGCGACGATTAGGCATACGTAACTTATGTCCTGACCGTCTCGTCTATTGATTTCCTCTCTTTACCTAGCACTCAACGCCAAAACTCAATATTTCTCAACCTATTAAGCCATTTCACGCGGGAGATAGAACACAGGTACCTATGATAAAAGACAGCTGGCCTTTTTATGTCTTTCACACTCCATGGCCAGGTCTCACAGCCATGAAGGAGGCTAAAGCAGACTGCTGAGCAGTATACACGCCCTTTGGTCGATAGCCGGATATAACGTCTACGCCAGAGATGGCGTAAACTGGCATATGCGAAACTAGCCCTCTGTATCCGTGCTGAGATTTCGTCAGCAATCAACCTGCTGGCGTTGGCTTTTGAAATTTCACAAATAAGTGAAATGGTCAACACGCTTGACGACTTCACTGCCATATTTCTAAACTAGGAGTCAGTGTAGTCCAGTCCTGTAACATCATCTTATATTTAGCGGGAGCGAATTGAATGTCAAACATTCGTAGATTGCAACTCAAGGTGTTCAGAAGACTCTGCATTTTGTAAGCGTCTTCACCTACAAGGACTATATCATCTGCATATTCTAAGTCAACGAGATTATGCCCTGACGGTAACAAGTCAATCCGTGAGTCACTGGAGTCAGCATTTAGGCTTAATTCCATCAGTACATCTTTGATGAAACTGAATAGAAATGGAAATAGTGGGCATCCCTGTCGGACACCACTAGTTGTCACCAATTCAGATGACAAATCGCCATAACCTCTCACCTGGCTGCATGAGTTCGAGTGGAGTACTTTGATCAGTGCAATATAATTTTTCGGCACTCCCTTCACAGCCAAACACCTCCAGAGTAACTCTCGGTCGACTGAATCGAATGCCACCTTTATGTCAAGAAATATAATGATTGTTGGACGCTAGTAAGTATGCCTATGTTCCAGAATCTGTCGAAGGGTGAATATATATTCAACACACCCTCTTCCTGGTCTAAAGTCTGCCTGGTTCTCTCGTGTTTGTTTCCCCCGAGCACCAGTTAGTCTACGCATTATTATTGAGCCTAGAACTTTAGATACCATATTAGTCAAGCTAATCCCCCTGTGGTTATCACAGGAAGACTTGTCTCACTTCTTGCATATCGGGATAATCAGTTAGTTACACCAACACGACTGGACTTCCTCTGATTTCCAGACAGTGCCTAGTACCTTAGTTGACGCAGACAGTAAGCTGTCCCCGCCACACTTGAACACCTCGTTCCATCAGGTCCTGTTGCTTTGCCTCGTTTCAGACTAGTGACAGCTTTAGTAACCTCATTTAAGGACGGATGACCTGTGTCTATATCCTATTCAGGAGGTGTTGGATGTTCGGTAAGTTTACTGTGGCCGTTGGCCAATTAAACTTCTCCTCAAAGTGTTCTCTCCAATGTTCCAGTCGTCTATTCTGGGAGCTAATTATGGTGCCATTTTTCTCAGAGATTGTTTCACTTATCATTTGCCACCTGTTTCCCTGATAAGTTTAAGTAGTTGTCTGGTGTTACCGATCGCCGATGCCTTTTCCATCTCCGTAGCTTTTGTCGCCCACCACTGTTCACGGTCGTTACGAAGGCTACTTGTTAGTCTGCCTGTGATTAGCTTTCACTCCTCATCATCATCGGAGGTCACTGGAATCAGTCTTCTTGCGTCAATCAGTTAGGATGAGGCGTTAGAGATCCAGTGGTTCTTACTAACTTTTGGTTTAAGGCTATTAACAGCTTTTACAGCTGTGTCTACAGCTAACTGTATGTTGTGCCAGGCTACCTCAGACACTCGTTTCGCTATTTCTTTCTTAAATAGGGACTAAGTGTCTTGGTCTATTTGGGGACGTAATTGCTGCCAACATTTTTTATGTCCGTTTAATCGTAAGCATAAACGTGCGCGGACTAGAGTGTGATCGGAGTCTACGCACGTGTTTCGAAAGGAGCGGTAGTCTTCTACTGACCCTCGTCAACGATCGCCTATCGCTATGTGGTCTATCTGAGTCCAACTTTGATTTAGTGATGGAGGTGGTCAGGTTAGGCGATGTCTGTGTTTATGCCTAAAGTTAGTGCTGATTAGAAACAGATGATTATCTGAACAGAACTGTTGAAGACTATCACAGTTGTTGGTTCGTTGGCAGGAAACTCCATACCTGCCACCTGCATAATTCTCAGTTTGGCACAACTTCCCTACTTTGTCATTGAAGTCGCCTGCTAAATCAACTATATTTTAAAGCTTTGCTTTCTGCAGCAAATTAGACAGCCTTTAGTTGATGTGAACTGCAGTCTGTTGGGGCGTAAGTGGAGACTACGAAAAGGAGACGACGGGTAAGGCCATCCTTCCTTCTTCTAATGGACCCGTTCAGACGGACCGCACACATACCACTATCCACTCGGATCCAGTCAAGAAGTGATTTTTCTGCACCTACACTCAATGCTATTATACCTACACCTGTAAGTCCTCACGAACCAGCTGAGGGGTCTCTTGGCAATCTTAAAGTTAATTTTGCAGATTCAGTTTGTTGGTCTGATGAGGTTAAGTGAATGACCACACTTGGGTCTTGTATGCGCGTCTTCGTGACATAACATACATTCATGTATTGAGATGCTAGAGTTCTTGCTAGTGATGCCTGTTGTCCAATTTGGCAGAGGGTTCTGACGCTGGAAACTCCTATATGAAGTTAGCAGCGTAGCTTTAGGAGGCTATTGAGCGTGTTTCTATGACTCTATTGTGGTTTGTGGTCATAGAGTGAAGTGAAGATGACTCACTAGCCTGCAGAATAGTACTGACTGTATTAGAGCAGTAAGATGATGAAGGTGATATGGGTAAAGGAGAACGATGCTCGATGAGGCTTCGTGTGCTTTTGGAAGTGTGTGGGCAGTTGTTACTTCCCGGCTGCCCACACCGTGGAAGTTGATTGGGTCTTCGGCTACCTGAAATAGAAAGAGGGTTAGTGTTGCGTGACCTCAGAGTCCAGGGGGCAACTGGTTGAGGCCGGTCACACACGGCCTGTATGAATTGGTTTCTTGGATTAATTCCGTATTAGTAAACTTACCACTGATCACGGACCACCGTAGGGTGAGTCAGGATGAACAAGTGTCGGGGTCAACCTTTTCCAACCCCTTCTCTCCAGAGTGGAGGGACAGCATAGCTGAAAAGCTAGTCACCTGAGGGAAACACCTAACTGCTGTTACATCCCTATTCCCTAGCAGTGCAACTTCCCCCACAGACCCCCCAGCATAGCGTAAAATAATTCCTATACTATACCGGTAACTGTTTTTAGTCCAATCTCTATCCTAACAACGTTCCTGGCATGGTAGGACCTGCAGAAAAAATAGTTGCAGCCAGTGTAGCTTGTTGGGTCATTGCGATATGCAAGCCTGACCGCCACATCAAGGCAGCAGCTATCAGTCGGGCCATATAAATTTACGTGTTGCCTTAGTAATTTTTATCATGCTAAATACTCCTCCTGCATTCCTACTTATGACAATATAGTTCAAGTTTGATGACATATTGAAATCAATTAAACAATCATTGAGATCCAGGGAGTACTACACGGCTTTTTTGTCCTTGTTTGGAAATGATCGGTGGTACACACCTGCTGGGGTTTGAAAACTAGACCTTCTGGTGAAAAGGCAAACTATAAGACCATCCAGTCACTGGCACTCTGCACAACAGCCCATCAATTCTAAATTCTACGAATTCGTGATTTCACCGCAACCACCAGCCAATGTCTAAGGTGAGAAATTGTCCTCCCTCCCGACCGGATAGACCTCACTGGTGACGACTAATAGTAACATACTGTATAACTGAATTTTTTGAAAAGTTGACAGTATAAGGCAACAAGTCACTTACTTCAGTATATAGAGGACTATCCTCTAGTTTGGTTATATTTGATGTTGTACCACCTTGGTAAAAGCCGAACCACTGTAAATTAAAATAATAACATGGAAAAATTACTTTATATTTTTCAGATTATTGACCATTCGCCAAAAACTACACTTATTCAACAGTGTCCATTTGCCGAATTATTGAGCAGCCATAAGGGATTCTAGTCAGCTTATGTAATTCGGATCCTTCAGAATATTTGATGAGCACTTTAAATGAATATCCGTAATCTCAAAATTATTCTTAATTATTCAGTTGCTAAGCGGAGTTAGAACTTGAGGCAGCGCCTCCGAATATCAAACTCTTACTCTGAGGATGTGTGAATAGTAAGTTATTACTTTCATAGTTATCGGAGAAAAAATTACTCAGGAACTGATCAAAATGGAATCGATCAAACCACTGTATAGACTAGAAACTAAAGAAATGATGATATGGACAGGATTAATTCATCTGCATCCATCCTTCTACATTTGGTAAAAACTGAATTACTTTCCTACTAACAATGCAACAGCAACAAACTGAGCCAGAAAACAAGACATTATCTTATTGTGTTGGGCTTTGTCGTCAATTCCATACAGCCTGAAAGGCTTTAAACATTAATGCACAAAATGTTCACATTCCTTAGTTACTTACTGTTCACGGAGATGCATATTACAGCGAAAGTCATAAAAGGTGATATCAAGCTTATCAGGATACATAGAAGTAATAACAAGAATATTCTAGTGTTAGGAACGTGCGCTAGTATTTTTTCGCTCAGTTTATTGTCTCCCAGGTGTTTAAATGAGGGCTCTGTCATATTATGAATTCAAGTTGGAAACTGATTAAAGGTTGAAAATTAATAATACATCTTAATCAAGAGATGACTAATTTAGTTCGGTAAAGTTTAGAAAAATAGTCAGGTATGGAAAGGAATAAAAATTAAGAACATGAAGTTACTTAGTTCAAAGTGAATATAATCATAATAACATAAAATATACTCATCGGGATAGGGCGAAATTCACAATAATGTATTTCTGAAGGCTCATGTTTGGTTTTAACCATTTAGAGTTAGGATGGATAATGCTAACCACTTCACTAATCCCACAATGAAGAATTTCGCTGAAGAAGCAATAAGAAATACTAAATAGTCTCAAATATATCTAGTAGAGAGTGATATTAAAATCAGATAAAGATTAGAATGCCCTAGTGATAAATAAAAAGTGCTCTCTCGAAAAGTGACAAAAAGATTAGGTAGAATTATACAGATTTTGAAGGAGCATATAATGAAGGATTCGGGAAATATTCCAACAAATAATCACCAGAAGCCCAGGAAGCCTGGTCGGCTTTATACCAACAGCTTGGCAGAAGTACACAAGCAGCGGAATGTGTACTACTTATCTCATAGGCACATGATACTTGAAAGCGGTTTGTTTGCTCACCCTCTTTTTGTCGTTCAGGTACGTACATCTAGAAGAGATCACTTCACTTATCCAAAAAACGGGACAGTGTAGATGTTTTGAAAAAATTTATACAGACCCTTGGGGAATCCCTATTTCCAAACATAATTCTTCGGAAAATCATAGGTATTAAATACCATAATTCTGATCATTCGTCTAAGCTGACATCTGAATTCAGTACAAAAACATATTCCATAGTCAAGTTACTGTGGTAGTGGTGGGAAATTCACTTGGTCCTGTACTCTCAGCTATCTTTGTAAAACGTCCCCGGTATACAAAAGAAAGAAACAAAATTTAACATCAGATTTTCTGATGATGGCCAAACTGTACGTAATGAATTATCCCATATACATCACTCTTTAGAAAAATTAAATAACACTGACCTCCTCGAAAATATGAAAATCACTGAAAATTTGACTTTGTGATTATATCTGTCCAATCTTCTTGTTATTTCACTGACAAATTACTAGTACTCTACCCTCCACTTATGCATATCAGCTTGGGTGTAGTTGTCGAAGCTGATACACTGGAAGAATAAACTGAAGAGCTGATGAGACTTTGGATGCCAAAGTTACTCGATATCAGACTGACACAAGACATCAGGTCGAGGTTTGAGACTATAAGACTATAAACAAAATGTTAAAGTCGTCTGTTGCTTGATGAAACTACCACCATGGAACTCTCACATCTTACCTGTGTTTAAAAAGAATCATTAGTAATTCTTCGCTTACACTGACAGCTTTGTCTCCTGATTTTCTATTTCAGATAATCACCTCATATAATAATAAATACGAATACTGATATTGTTTCAATCTCATTTTGATACACTATCATTGATTTAACTCCATTTCTTCATTTAACCTGGATTAAACTAGGTGGTTTTAACTGACTATATTTTTCACTTGTAGTGTGACAATTTTTCTAATGACTTAGGTAATCGTGTGTCCTTAAATATCTTTTAACTGTCTTCAATTTCTTCTCTTCGGGAAACTTCAGCTGTACTGCACACATAATTGTAACAATTTATAATAATTCACTGGAATCACCTGTCATATCGGCTCCTCTTTAGGCGTTTTAGTGATGTCTTGAGGTCAACACAGTGACAGTTGCTTGAAGGTGACTAAAAGTAGGACCAATGACACGCATTTTTTCCCTATTTGGGACTCATCAGGCAGATGTTTCTATATTCAAGTTATTGACGAACGGACGGTCTATGAGACCGACCATTTCAATTCCATATAACAAGTCAGTGGGAAATTCACAATAATAATTTTGATGTGGTTGTGTTCTCTGAGCTGGATAGTTGATTTGCGAAGCTTTCATCACCCTACTAGGTGACATCTTCAGCGCACTCTTCAATTTGAAGTGGGCTTTTAGATTTCTCCACGAGTTTATTAATCATCTCTCTTGGCGACCTTGGACGTGATTGGTTGTTTTTGTGCGTTTTTACACCTTCTAGGTTGCTTGTATTGTCACTCATTGTTTCTTTGACTTGAACTTTGACCTTTTGTGTGTGAGGTTTCTTTCTTATCGGTTGATAAATTTTTGTCAATCTCGATGTGTCTAATGATTGATGAATCACTGGAATGCCAAGCTTCTAAAAATTCTCTAGCATTCTTGTTGTTTCCTCTGTCTAATATTTGAACGTTGTCCCAGTCGAATTGGTGTCCGTGATTGTCTGTATGTAGTGATATGAGGGAGTGGATATCATGTCTCTTGACAGCTAGCTTATGATCGTGGATACGAAGACGAAGGGGACATCCACTTTGGCCAATGTAGTGTTTTTCGCAGTTGATACAATCTATTTTGTAGATGATGTTGGTTTTATCTTCCTTCGCTGTTGAGTCTTTTGGTTGACATAGAATTGAGTGAAGTGACTTTGTTGGTTTGTGTACGACGTCAATTCCTAAAGGTTTGAAGAGTCTTGTAGTGATTTCTGATATATCCTTTATATATGGTAAGGCGATTTTCTTTGTGCTTTCCTTGGGGGCTTTTGGTTTGATAGGTTGGCTTGGGGGTATATGTCTTTTGATGAAATTCCGTGGATATCCAATAATAATTTTAGCTAATAACAACCAGGACTCGTTATACAACAGGTGGCTCGAGTGGTTCAGTGGCCTCGTGGAAGAAGATTCGGTATTCTTGGTTTCAAGCCCCAGTCTCAAAACTAATACCTGCCAGATACAGGCAGGCCTACCTGGAGAGTTCAAAGAGAACCAAACGCGCATCGTGAATTCTTCTAATAACCACCAACCACCAAATAACACCATTTGTAATACTTCACCAACATCCCAATACACTCTGTCAAGTGAATATTTCTTCACTATTGTTACACTACTACCTGATATGATTATTCAAAATGTCAGTGAGATAAAATAAATTCAGTTTATTGTGTTTCAATCGTCTTCATTGATCTTTCAATTAAATATTCACTGTCAACACTTAATTAACTGAGTTAATATCACAAGAAGCCTCATTTAAGAAAATAATTTGTGTCACAAAGCAACTGTTGATACAAAGTGTAGCTGAAAATGTTTGTAATCGCGAAGTTTATTGATTTCAGCCTGAACCCATGATAAATGAATTGTTTTATTTCATTTTAACATACAGCACAAAGGTGATAAGTTTGACCCTGAAGAGTATCAGTTTTAAAAGTGTTTAAATTGACCAGCATACTCTTTCAACACTTTTAAATGTTCTCTTCCAGTATACACCAAAATTATAAGTAATGTCAATTTAGTAAAAAATTATATTTGTAAAGTCTCAGCGAGATTGAAATGAGTAATTCCAACGTTTCGTTCGGCAATCTGGTCCGAACTTCTTCAGGGAAATTAATCGAAATTAACATAACATAGGTTTATATATAAAAAGGAACACCACTTGTTTTTGAAAATTTGTCCAATCATGAGTCATTCAAAAAGTATCAACAAGTATAATAAACGAAATTTTATCAGCTGTGATCAAAATTTGACCTCGGACTTACAAATATTGGTCTACCTTTGTTAAACACTTTAAACAGAGTGTGTATGTGTGTGTGTGTGTTTGGGTAAACAGTTGTAAAACATTTCTTAACGTCTCCATAAGAAGATATGGACAGTCGTGAATTTTGACCAAGTATTAATAATTAGTGATAGATATCCATTGTTATTTATTAATAAGGATTTCCTATGCATCAGCTAACATCACACCTTTATGTCAAATCTTGACGACAGTTCATTTGAATGTTAATTTAGACTAATGTTATTGAGTTAAAAAAAATACAAGTCGTTGTTACTTATACTAAATATTTAATATTCTAGAGATCGAATTCTCCTATGCCATTTAGTCTGCTTAAACTCTACGAAAATCAGCTTCTATAATTCTAAGTCTGGTTGCTAGGATAGTTTTGCGACAAGACTAAGTCACTGTCAGATGTGAATACCTTTACATTAGGCAGGGCCATATTGGTTTCGAATGACAATCAGACGAAAAACTTAAGCCGTAATGTGGCATTTTGCCTTCGTATATTTGCTGATAGAAGTTTCATATGAAAAAAGAATTTTTATTATCCTGGCATTTAAAATACTACACTGAAATTACCTCACACAAAAGTTGTTGGGGAGAGATTCAATGATTCATTGGAAATATCTTTTTCTTCTAACAATATCGATTCATCTACAAAATTGTCACTTCATGTAACTAGTTCACGTTTTCCATGAAGCATATATATATGTACAAATTATTCTCAGAAAATCCTGTAGCTTCACCTGGGTAGAAATTTTGTCTTAAAGATCCTTTCCGCCTAGAAAGTGGAACATCAGCACATACACTAAGTGTTCCATGAAATCAATTGTTTTGGACACAAGTCATGACTTTTAACATCATCTATTCTTAAGTGTTTATTTATAAACGAATAGGATTGTTTATATTGTTAGAAAATTTCAATATATGTTAACAGTATTGTAACACTGAAATGTTGTACACACAGTGGAGTATTGACAACAAGCTCTTATGGACGAATTTAAAATGAAAAAATTTAGCATATACCAATTACCAATCAGTTAATGTCTCGACAAGTGACACTGAATTTTTATCATTTTTTTCTAAGACCATAATAATAATAATAATAATAATAATTCGAAACAGATATTTGAATAGGTTTACGATATAACAGACAGGTACTAGTTACGCACTCACCTAACTCAATTCAGACTTTTAAATATTATTTTAAAGTCTGAAACCATATATCACCTCTGTTACATAACAATAGATATGCTACTATCAACTTTTAGAAACACAACCTCTTGTTACTGTCAAACTCTTAGATTTAATCCATGATTCAGTGAAGTAAATAGAATCTAAATGTGAAGTTCCAGAGTATCCTGTAAGCGCTTATGCTTGCTTCTGAATTGTTATTCGAGTAAAGGCTAACACAAATGGATAAGATAGAAAGAAAACGACAGCCGTAGGCTCACATTTCCTAAATTTCAAAACACAGCTAAGAGTCAGGTATTGATTAGTGCAAAATCCTAATTAGACACATCATTCTACAAATTTATAGCAAGCTTCAAATATTTATTCAAATATGTATGCATGATTTAAGTTTAATTCTAAATTATTCATACCTACCTCTGATTCTTTCGGAATAAGGATTGTATCGTCTAAAAATTCCACTAAAACCAACCGTCTTATATTTCTAATTCGCTCACGGTAAATCTCATTTATTTCCTAAAATGGTTTATCGTACGTAAATTTTGAAAAATTTATTAATTGCTTTCCATGAAAATATAATGAAAAAACTGTTGTAATTAAAGAAGAAAACAGCATAAACCACTCTTATTTTATCTTAGTATACCTGAAATCAACAAGAGTGGAAAACTAACGGCAGCATAACTTGAATTCAATTTTGTTACTATTTATAACTTGGACGTCTCATTGCCTAACATCATCAGAACTATTCTTCGTTAATATTCCCATTGTACTGACATGAACGACTTCATATTTTTGACTTTCTCCCTGTCTCTACATTATATATATGCAATAGTTTCGATGGTTTCTCTAAGTGTTGTCGTTAACTACAAATTGAGGAACGCAGTTAATATACAGCTCGCGAAAATTAATTTTGGGGATTTAAACTCCTAAGGTTGACATTAGATGGCTAGAGGCAACCTGCAGGAAGCCTTGAACCTAGGTTTCTTGCTAGTTGGCACTCGTTTGCAAGGCGTATCTGTGACCTCTAAGGAATTGATGTCCCTTCTGAGATTCGAACCTGACGAGTGCCAGCTAGCAAGAAATCTGCGTTCAAGGCATCCCACCGAGTGGCTCCAGCCGTCTAATATTAACAGTTCAAAGTGCGCCATGATGGCGAACCACCTAGCACAGTGGCCACATTGCAAACTGGACTGATGGAATTCAGTGTGAAACATACGAAGGAACAGACACACTACACTAATTACTGACTAGTGTCCATTCAAAGTAATCTCCTGAAGTAAATTGCAATGAAGATTTATTCGCCTGTAAAGACGATTCTTACACATAGTGAAACATGCATAAATGTCTTTTGTTCATACTTTTTCGCCACTCATTTATCCATTCTGAGTAGTCACAAATACTTATTTGGAAATTCTTGCCTTGGTTTAAAATGAAGGAAAGCAAATATTCCATAAAAGTCATAACATATACGATCTTATGAAAAAAAATTAAGTTATTCATCAAATACCATCAGATTTGTAGTTGCCAATGCTAATTCAAATGTTACGGAACTAAATTTATTTGCGAATAAATCTAGAGAATACATTTCACTGTCAGAATCTCCACGGTCCAGCTTTAGTTAAAGAATCGTAGAAAACTGAATAGCATAGAGAGGCTGTTTCGTTGTTAGTTTGCAACTCTTCAAAAGTTGATATCCATTAATTCATCAGGGATCGAATACACTACTGTCATAATATGAAGTCAGTCAGTTAATATCCAACTACTCGGTTGAAATTTAATTTTCTATGAGTTCTAATTTTTGTCAATTCAAATTATAGTGCCACTGCAATCCATTGTCGTTTTAGTGTTCCTAGCCTTTTGTTTTGAGAAAGGCATTTATTAATAATTTAGTCTCCCATTTCAATGTAGAGACCAGTAGATTCCAATCATCTGCTTTCCTCTGGTATAGGTTTAGTTTCTTTGATTGGAATGACACTAGATAAATGGATCATAATGGTATTATATATATATATATATATATATTCATTTTTATCTTAATATCCATTCGGCTATTACTTTCTCCATTCTCATAAGCATCTGATTCCTGTTATTTCTTTCTCTATGTTGTTTCAATTTGTGGCACCTTGAACTGATGAATTCCTGGACAAAGTCATTTTCTGATATGTCAACAGGCAAGGGAAATTTATTTTTATTACTGGCGAATTTTACTGTTAAAACCACATAGATAATGTTTACTTCACTGATACTCACATTTTCTTGATTAATATCCGCCAAAAATTGTGAATATTGTCGATATACATCTTCTTTTAGTGGATCATGCCAGTACTGTGCTTGGACCACACTTGTTAAGTAATCAATAAAAATGGCTATTTTTTATATTAACATTAGGAGGAAGCTGTAGCATCTAAATGTCTATTTTCAATTTATTAATGAAATGTAACAAAAAATGTTATCATAAATCATAATTAAACCTTTAGTTAACTGTTTAGCTGGTTGACCCTAAGCAAGGATATGTAAAACAATTATTTCCATAACTTTATGAACATTAGTATTCCTATTATTTATCATTTTTATGAGCCGCTTGCACAAAAATTGCTCAGTACTGACATTTACTACCTTTCTGTAAAAATGAAACAGTAGAGGAATTATATATTCGTAGCAACGTTTCACATGGGGTATAGGCGTGGGAATGTGGCTAATTGGCCTAAACACTCGGATTTCAGCGAGTGGGTCACTGGTTCACACGTCGCTCCACCTACTTCTGTTTGAGCAAGTGGGTTTTATCGTGAGCCCTCACATAACCACACAGCCTGATAACGAGAGGGTCATTACTGACTAACACATATATAAGGATAACTAAAATGAAATATAAATCCCTCTTAAATACTTACTACCCATTCTGACAGCAAACTTGAAATCTCTTCAAACACTGTAGATGATATAACAAATGCAGTAATCAGTACTTTAACTCTGACCAGTATGTTTTAGAGGATTATTTTCACAGAGGCATAGTCACTTAAGTCCTGCTCTTAATTAAATGAATTAGGTGATTTTAAAATTTCATAACTGCCTTTCTGACACAGAGAGAAGAGATTTAAGAAATTATGTATCCATACTTATCTGCCGTATTTTGTAGGCAAATGGCAGGCTTTCTGTACTAATAAATACCGACAACTTTCACATTTAGGACTTCCATGTGTGACTAATGTCAGCAAATCATCACCTGGGTTTTTCAGTCACTCCAATCTTCTATTGTTTTAAGCAGAAATCAACTTCCGTGTTGTGGACATGCAGTAAATAGAAGTCACCAAAACGCTTACTGTTTTTCTCCTCACTTTTCCTATAATTTAAATGTTCCTGCTGATAATACTGTTTCACACACAATTTCATCACCTTTCATTCATTCTGTTTCCACTACTTACCACTCAATTCAATGAAAAAACGCCTTTACTGGTACTTTAAGTCAAAGCTGTTAATTTAGCATTAGAAATTTTAAAATTTGAACTATATCAAACAAAAGCAGGTCCCACTAGCCCACAATCTTGGTTCTGTAATTATAAATATGTTGTATAGGACCTAAGTGTGTTCAGATATTGAAATCTATATGGCACATCTATGTAATATACCTGCACAATTCACGGATATCAGCAAATTATATAACCTGTTCTTTTGGAATCAATAGTATAAATATAGTAATCAGTGTTCAGGTATATAACTAACTGTCCAGCTGTATTCAAGTGAATAGTTCTCCTATGACTGTGTAAGAATAAAGTAAGATAGTGTTGTGGCATCCTCTTTCGCACCCACCAGCTTTATTAGGGATAAGGAAAGAAATTGATTCTGTGAGAAACCATCGATTTTCCTTTGAAAAGCTAGTAATTTTAACTTTCGCTGTGGGCCAAATGCTGAGTCTGTCGGAAGACCATACTGAAGGTATCCATGTAGCTGCGGAAAACAGCGACGGTGACCATTCCTCATAATTTTTTCCCTTGACAGCACTGACTTTCACCACTAACACAGGCATTATTTCATCTGGCGAAACCTCACTGCCATTCCCCAGCGGGATGCTAATCAACTACTTCGCTGTAGACTATTTCATGTATAATGTCCGCTGAAAAGTTCCGGCCCTCCAAGAATACTCACATGGGCTTAAATCACTGATTATTCTATGCACATCTACATGAGATATGAGTTCTGTGAAAAGTTGAAAAAAAATCTAACCAAGCACAGTGGTAGCACTAATCATTCAATTCTAACAAGTATTGTGAATGTTTCCTCTAAAATAAAGCCAAGAAAAACAGAATTGCTTTGATTCTCTATGTGTTTGAGAACAACAGGGATGAATAACTAGCCAGATCCACTGTAGTACCAGCTAGTTTATGAAAATCTGAGATAACTGAATCAACCTACTTTAGACAGTTGATCATCTCATTTTATAAAAAGGGTGCTACTCAACCCTGCCAACCAACATATATAGGGATGTATAATCTAGTAACTTTGTTCTTTAGAAACTTGTTAAACAATATATCACATTATAAATAGGGCATTAAACTTTTTAAAACTTTAACTCCCTGATGAACACGACTACCACTTAGTTTGTAAATAATGTTTTTCGCACACAAAATGTCTTACAACTTTTTGAAAAGTTATCCACCGACAAGCTGAAACTTAGAAATAATGAATCAGTATCAGTGAATTAGGATAAGGCATAACAGATCACGAATAGAAGTTTCTATCTTCCAAAATAGTATATAGCAGACGTCAGTGGGAAGCAAAAAAATAGTAAAAGCAGACAGCAGTAAAACAATAACAACCGATGAAGAAATTGAACTAAGAAATAAAATCGCATAAAATTACAAAAATAACCATCAACTGCGAGAAGATAGGTATTACATGAATATATAAGATTTAGAATTCCTAAAGCCATGTCAGTCGAAGTGTTGCAGACACAAACAAGAAGACTACAATTCGCCAACCACTTCAAGGAGCTGACAGACATGTCTAAATCCAACCACTTTATTACCTATGGTCTCGTGGTTTCTGTTAATATATTTTGTAATAACCTGTTTCATATAGCTTTTTCCTTTCAGTATCAACACTGTTTTCATGGTAGATATGAGCCACATCCAACAAGGTGCATCGCTGAAATGAAGAGCATTTAAAGAGTTCCTTTGAAGGTGCCACCTATCTATCTGCTCACGTACACAGAATTTCACTGGAAATAACGCGTTAGAAATAGTACGAGTTAGGGCAATAGGAAAAGCTATAACTCTAAATATTCTGGAGGTCTTCTTAAAATGGTGAGCTTCAACTTTGTATACAGGGTGTTTTCACTCACTTTAAAATATACGAGAATAAATTTACGTATGGAAAATGGAATAAATGCATGTAACCGTTATAATAATAGCGGTAATATCACGTACTGACTCTGGATAAAGTGAGTGTATGCTCCATAGGAAAGTAGTTCGTTCATTAGCAAGCAGGCTTGATTGAGACCTTCACCGGTGCATTTTGGTATACCAAAGATTCCTTGCTGAGGACCTCCAATAGAAACAACAGCACCGACATTCGTAAGATTACATTTTTGAACTAAAGCTCTGACAAATAATCCGCCTTGTGATAGGCCAATCATATGTAGACCATTGGAAAAGTTTTTGTCTTCATGTAACATACGACAGACATAATCCAACTGATCATTAATCGGCATGAAGTATGTATCTCGAATATCCTAAATAAAATAAAAGTGACCACAAGAAATGACAGTAATTTCACGTTTCAATTGAGAAAACAACTGTGCATAGTGTCATATTAAGAATGAAAGACATACCAATAACTCACGCTGCATACAGTCAGTGCAATGTGTGTCACAGACAATGATTGAACAAAGATAAAAATTCCAACTGATCAATAGTTAGCAATCATTGTTATGCCTCTAGCCCTTGGTCTGATGCAGACTGAATTGTACCCGTTAGGTCTGCAATTTTGTCACTAAGTTAGGTGGCTGTATTTTATGAACTATATTACTGAATTGAAAGTCATAAATACTGTGAGACGCTTCCGGGTGACTACGCTCATTTAATGAGCATCAAAAAGGACAAACTAGGTCATTTGAATATTATCATGTATATTTGTTGATGTTTATTAATTGTTTACATAAAATTCATCTAGTCCAGGAATCAGTGTCTCCGCATTCTCTTGATTTTTGGCATGAATGTTATTTGAGTGTTTCTGTCTGTAACTGGAATTCTGGTCCATCATCATTACCTTCATAAAGTTCATAGGTCTACAAAAGTCCCAAAATTTGGCGCAGAAATACAAAACACATAAGAATACGAAGAATACACTACACCGTCTGAAAGAAGTCTGAGAATATGTGTTTCTATAGTTTTAAAAGATAACTGTCTTATTATACTATAAAGGAAGTTAGGTCATGTTTCAGTGAAAACATGAACGGTGGCCAAGGTCAAGTTTACACAGTGTCTGAAATTTTTAATAGTCTATTTTGACCAGTAATAAGGCTGGTAAAGAGGGAAGGTTGGGCATAAGGCTAGCAACCCCATCCCATAAAAGTGAACACCAATGCTACCGAAAAAATTTGACCAGGTAATCTGAAATTGGTTATTTGAAGGTTTATACTACAGCTTTACTTAATCACCCTGTTAACCAGCTACCACTGCTATCTTTTCCCTCTGTAGCACCTATAGATCCGTAAATTCTGCATTAATTTTCTTAATTTATCTTATTTTCAGTTTAGCGTAATATTTAAGCACATTATCTTGCACAGATGTTTTCAACTTTCCTTGTAAATTTATGATGGATATTTTAATCAAACAAATGTCAGTTTTGAAATGCAATACAGTTGGATAATTTGAGCATCTCAAACGAATTCGTGGTGTCATTTGACGTGTCTTTGTTGTTTACAAAGGTCTCTTGAGAGGAAACTATGCAAATTGTGTCAGCATGCTGATGTCATTCCTCTGCCAAAGAGAGAACTCAAATAGCTGTTAAAAATATATACTAAGGGAATACAGTTTCAGTTCAACAATGTCCTGCACCGCCAAATTCATGGAGTGGCTGTGGGAAGTCCGCTGGGTCCGGTTCTGGCAGTTATTTTCGGGGGCATTATGGAACGAACAAAACTGAAGTCAGCAATCGGCCAAGTAGACTTCTACACCGCGTATACCGATGACACGCTCGTCATTTGTAATTAACTTAATAATAAATCTCAAATATTAAACGTTCTAAATAGTGCTTGTCCTAATATAAAGTTTAGAATAGGGTGTGAAAATTAGGACAAGTTTCCTTTTCTTAACCTTGATATCCAACGTGATAAAGATGGTAAAATCGTAAGGTTCATCTACAGGAAAGACACCTGAAGGGCGATTTATCTAAATTTCAGAAGCTTTTGCTTTATAAATCAAAAAAGAGATTGAGAACAACACTGTTTGATCGTACAAGGAAGCTTTGTTGAGAAGAAAAGATAGAGGAAGAACTATCCGTTGTGGAAAAATGACCGCATAAAGATAGTTCACAGACAAACATGGAAAACGTAGTGTTGACAAAGTGAATTACAGCGCAGTAGACAAAAAGTTCGTCTTTCTACACCTTGCCTTCAAAGATGATGATAGTGTTAATAGAATAAGATTCAGACTGAACGCAACCTTGGAAAGAGCATACTGAGCCGCTAAGCTTGTATGTGTTTACCAAACGACCAGCTTTTTAAGACGTTCAAAAGTGGACAAATGCCCATTTCATGTTACCTTCAACTGTGTTCACCAATTTGCGTGTACTTGCCAAAGCACATACATTAAAAGAAAAGAGAGGGGGTTACTGTTTGCATTTCTATACACAAGCCATAGAAGCAGAGACTGAAGGGCTCGCGATTGTGCTCCATCTGTTGGAAACTGGTCTTGTCGTGAATAATCTGAAGGCGTTCAAAAAAATTAACGAGCGAAAGAATCTGGCCTGCTACGTTTTTTTGAGCCAATCACTATCAAACGATAAAAACCAAATCTATGTACGCAAAAAGAGACAGTGCTGAATCTCTCACTGTCTTGGTGATAACAAAGTATACATATTTTACTGCATCATCTATCCTGTTTAGAAAACCTTATTTTTCGTCTACACATGACTCACCCTACATACTCCTTTTTTGTTATTTCATAAGAACATATATTCTGGGATTACGTAACCTATTATTTATTATACTCTGTCTAGTTAAACTTTGTTTCTACCCACAAAAATCTGTTGAATTCAATCCTTTTGTTTCCTAGCACAGTCGTCTAATTTTCCTACAAATAGTCAGTCCTCTTCACTGTTAATCACTGAATAATTTACATTATTCCTGATTAAGTTACTCTTAGTTGTTGCCAAATACTCCTTGTCATCGTGGAAAAAGTATGTTCAAATCTTTAGTGTAATTTATATTTTAGTACTATGCAGGTTGTAGCCAGTTGATAAGAATCCTCAAAATGATTTCAAAAACAAGCTCATATTATCCCGATACAAATAAAAATAATGTATCGTTCTTGCCTTATTTGAATTGATCAATAAGAAGAATTATAAGAATAGTCAGCTTTATTCTTGCTGCACATTATAGATGCTTAGACAAGTTCTGTCGCTAGAAGAACAAGGCGGTATAACTCATGTTAGGAACATCTAAAATTTTTGTGATAATTTTGCTTTTAGGGTGAAATAAGTTGTTTATTCAGAACAACGGGTTGTCACACTTTCTATATGCATGCATAAAGCTGGAAGAAAGGAGTTCGTTGAAACTACAATAGCTGGAAATGTAAAAAAGAGGACAATTTACACTAAGAATAGTCAGGGTGAACTGCGAGGAATACATGGTGTGAACACATCTTTAGGATGACTTTGAGCCACGTTATCAGAAGTCTTCAAACATTAACCTTTAGCATCCCACTGACCCCACTCAAACAATCTACACCTCTTCGTGCGACTTAAGTTGAGTTTCATTGGCTTCATGGGTTGATACTATGTTTTAATCTTATCACCATCAACTCTCTTCTGACGTAATACCACATCCCCTACCACTGCAGTGAGGCAGTGACATGGCAGTTAATTTATTCATCAACTGATTTATTGATCTCTTGAGTCCTGATGTTGATGTAGCCTTTTTGCAACTCAAAAGAACGAGGCAAGTCCTATGTAAAAACAGAAATGCATTTAAGATACAAAGATGTAAGCCATACACTTAGAAAATATACAACGGTTGGTGAGTAATAGCCACATTTTGTATCGTTTTAATAAAACTTAGTTGTAAATATCCATGTTTAGTCGCTAAATCTTTGTTATGCAGGCTAAAAAAATGAGGTGCCGGCAGTTTTACAACAAAGCGTTTACCATATTCTCCCCCAAATCATTAATGAAATTATGCTGTACATAAAAGCAGGAAGTTGTAGCTCTAACTATACAGCTGTGAGAGAAAAAACTGTTTTCAAAAATACTTAGCTTTCTCTTTATTTGCAAAGAGGTTTCTAGAAGAAGGGCGGCATTATTACTTTGTGAAATAACTTTTGCTTTTGTTATGTTAATCGCATCAGAAGCACCTCAGATTCGTTTAAAATGATTTCATTAGTTGAAGGATTGTTTTTTAATTCACTTTTCGTGAGTCTGTTTTGTTTTTATATAATTCTGTGTTTTGTTTTAGATTTTTTATCTGTTTGATTGAAATGATATACCAACACGTGTTGTACAGAAGACTGTAAACAACCAGACTGATGATGAGGATGTGCGTTGGTGGCACAGTGGTTAGGGCTCTCGCCGACCATGCACGTTGTCCGGGGTTCGCCCCCCTGCCGGCGCACACCCGATATCTATGGTCGGCCTGCGAAATTTGGGCTACCGATATCCATGCTGAAAATTCCATAAATGTACCTAAAAATACGGTGTGGCATCAAGCTGTAATCAAAATAGTAAAAAAATAAAATTAAAATTAAAAATGAAGTATGATAGCTGCAATCCGTTATTTCATAAAGTTTACACTGGCCTGTCACTACTAGCCTATTGGAAATGTAGCAAGCCATCTCCATGGGTTTGTAAATTTGGCAACAATTTTTTGAGCGTTCTCATTTAGGAGGCCATAAGAGTCTTAATATTTAAGAATAAGATGAAGGAAACGAGTGAGCATCTGAAATAGATGTCAGGAACGACAATATTGGAGTAATTCATAAGACTTAGGCTAAACTACACCCTGAAATGTTAAGCGTAAAAGAAGTAATGTCTCCAAAAATCTGTTATAAAGACGTAAAACACCTGGAAAATCATAGAGGGCAAGTAGTTTCAGCGTCGTAAGACCGGCTGAAGAAACTACTAGAACAAAGAGTAGCATATCAAGAAAACAGATGGCTCCATCTACTGCGAGGAAAAAACTAACTTCACTTGGGCATTACTGAAGAGTGAGAAGTTGAAAAACCGTAGGAAAGACAAAACTGTGAGGCCTAATAACAATATCTCTATGGCTGGTTATCCTATTTCGAAATCTTTTGACTCTAATGGTAGTGTAATTATTTAGAACTCAAAGGAATCAAAAGAAGTAGATCCAGCTGTTCAACGTGCGAATGGTCTCGAGGCAGTTAGCTCTATTATTCATGAACTACTTACAGAAAAAAATATTGAGTTCATATAAGAAGGGTTATCAGAATCGACTTACGAAGTATTGACGCTACGAAAAGTTCTCGATGACTAGGGAATGAGAGAGAAAAGAATATTTTCCTAAACATAGATTTTAAGGTAGAAGATGAAAAGTTGAGAATAAGACTTGATTGATCGTTGTAGGATAAGATTAGAAGGAGTGAAGCCGTATGGTAATAGAAGTTTTAAATAGAAAAAGGCGAAATAGCAGTGAAGTCGCGAAAACTTATGTTCACCAAACCTCTATTTATAAGTTGAATTAAAACGCAGGTATACCAATGTGCTAAAAAACTCTTGCAGTCTTACGAATAAGCTCCCCGAATTAAGAGTATTATCTGTGAGAGTACAACCCAATTTTATTCCTATTACTGAAACGTAATTGTTGGTGCGTTTGGGCATCGGTTTACTACCATTGAGGTAAATCTTCGCTAGAGAAGACAAAGTTAGTGGCCGAAAGGGTAGAGGAGTTGCCCTTTACATCCTGGATGACACAAAATTAGGTCAGCGTTCTCAGAAGCCCACAATGGCGGCAGTAGTGGAAATGCATGTTTTGTTATTGACTTGAACAAGGTATTATAACCATCGGGATCATTTAGAGAAGTCTTTCTGCCAGGTTGATGACTCCGAACTAAATCACTTAAGGGTGTGAAGTAGTAGAATTAGGCGTGGCTGACTTTGATATCCTATAGTCTAAGTGGGAGGAATTACTATCAACTGGCTTTTATACCTGTTTCAACAAGGAACTTACACTAATTGTGCACTCGTGTAGAATGTACATGAACTAAGACGATATGACCCTGAACATGTTCTGTTCACTCTGAAGTTAGTGCTGACACACCATAAGGAGAATGTAAGCGACATTAAGTGCCTCCTATTGCCAGGCAGTAGTGATCACGTAGCCATTACTTTTACGTTCAAGACTCATGATTTCATAAATAGGTCTAAATCTGCTCGTCCAAACATTTGGAGAGCTTATATATCGGTATTCAGGAATGCAGCAGGCTTAGCTGACTGGTCAGTTAACATAAATGGGACTGTTGAGAAAGTTTCAGTGATTCTTAGGATTACATTAGATTGGGTCGCTTCACCTTGTGTACCTTGATCTACGCCTCAAAAGCTATCACATAAAATACCTTGGATTGGTATTGAAATATGGAGGTTATTAAGAAAGCGAAAAAGCTTATGGAACCGGTTTAATGAAGTAAAGAAGGAAGAATTTCGAATGGGCTACTGTAAAATTCTGAACCTTTGCAAGTGTATAATTGAGAAACCTCGTATAGATTACGAAAGATAGTGTTGGATTGTTTATATTATTCCAAAGGACTGCAGTCGTATATTAAACATAGTATTAAAATTAGCAGTGGTATGTCTTTGCTAATAAGTAGTAATGGACAGATGGTCAAATCAGACAAAACAAAAGATGAAACATTTCTGAATGCTTTTGTGAAGTTTTCTCGTCTGATCGTACCACCTGAAGGTGTTTCATCAGGATGGAAAACAGTATCAAGTGGAGTACCTCAGAGGATTTTAATAGGACTCTTGTTACTCCTGTTATACGTAAATGAACCGCTGAAAATTCTTCACTCATCTCCACTATTACTTGCGAATGACATGAGGATCTGGGAAACCGTAAATAACAAAAGCAATCATCATAGGTCAGTATTATAAAGTGGTCTGGATAAATCAGATGAATAGTCGTTTGGAAATTTGGAAATTATTTCCAGGAAAGGCGCCGTAATATAACTGGGTCAGAGGTCTTACACGTAGCACTTCTGGGCGATACAAAACTACCAGATTTTATCAGACAAAAGGACTTCGGATTTATTGTAAGCCATGACCTGAAAACAACGACAAATTGTAATGGAGCCGCAGCTAAGGATTCTAGAATGCTACGGGCGCTTCGAAGTGCTTTCAAACGAGTAGATGAGTCTAAGTTTAAAGTACTATACGCAAGATATTTCAGGCCTCATCTAAAATACGGTATAGAAGCGATTAGTCCATGCTTCATGGAGGCACATACAATGAAAACAGTGCAAAGGGTAGGAACTATATTAGTCAGTAGTACTTCACATCTTACTTAAGAGAAGATAATGGCAGATTTAATCTCTTTCCATTATCATACCGTAGGAGCAGAATCAACTTAATTTTGGCATAGCCTATACCGCAATTTTGCTTGGGAATCGATATTTCTAGCCCTTTTCTCCTTCTTCGATAAATTTGTGAGGTCACCACAAAAAGATGCTCAGGTTGGGGACGAATAAAATATCTTCAAAATTTGGATTTTCTCATAGGTTGGTCAACGACTGGAACTCCTTACATGATCAGGCAGCATCAGCTCCACCTGTAAACGATTTCAAAGAGAAACCATATCTCGGCAGGGCTATATACTACTAGGGGTGATACATGGCACAAGTGCCTACTGCCTTTATTATTTGAATCTGAATCAGTATAAATTAATTTGTAAGCATTGTTGTGTTGTTTTATTGTCAAAGGCTTTGGTAAAAGTTTGCTATCCAGTCAAAATAGCTCATATTCACTGAATTTTTCACGTCTGCGAAGATAAACTCAAAGTCAAAGAATTTGCCGAACCGGACAGGTTACACTTCTTGGCCATATTCAAGGTTTATGCTATAATAATCACCCGTTAATATTTCCATAATAAAAACACTATAAGACGAGCAAGAATCTGGGTTTGGCAAAATCTATCTCAAAATATGCCCGTCATTATGTCACGTTAAGCGCTTTCAATTTGACATTAGCATGTTTGAGTAAAGCACTATCGCTATCACACTAAAGCACCTTTTCAATTCTTACGCCACACATCCTGATTTAACCTAATCTATAAAGTGACCTTGTGAATCAAATTTCAGGTTAATAAACCTATTTCAGCTGTCGCATGTCAATAAAATGTTGAGATAAAGGCGATGAATTTCCCCTCTGAATAGAAAACAAACTATAGGCGTCAAAAATGTGCAAATAATCTCCCAAAAAAATGTTATTAACTCTACTATAAGTCTCTCCTGCTTTTATATACAAAACATTGCTTACCTCAATAACAAAGTCGCTCGTCGTTATGCACTTAACGTATGTCCCAGGTAGATCTAACTTGATTAAATTTGCAAGCTTCTGAATTCCAGGTCCTGTGCCACGATCACCTTAAAAATAATCTCCTTCTGAAATATCACTAACCCATCCCATGCCATATAATAACTGGCAATTTTTCTGCCGAAACACATGAGATACCAATGAAAAGCAAAATCCACGTAAACATAATGCACATATCAAAAGACTGCGACCTTGAGTTCCACCACACAAAGAGTAATTCAATAAGCAATAAACAAGATTTTCATTTTAGGTTTTTGCTCTAAAATAGAAGGCTTTCAGCTTCATTTTTATAATTCCTCATTACTTGTGTCTTGGAAGAACTAACTCCGGTAACAGATACCACATTCACTATACCAATGCGTTGTCAGGTACAACATATAGCATGAGAATCTGTGTTAAATGAATAAGGCTTTTCTTTTGTAAAATTTTTCCTAGGCGCAGTCAATGGGTATTTTAGGGGGTCTCTTATTGCTCTTTTATAAATCTCAATGTACTTACCTAAACACTTAGAGTAGTCTAGATCTTACTGGTAGTATAGTTCCACAATAAGAAACTAAATGGAGAAGATGAGGTGCAGGAAGTTGGAGAGCAAGTACTAAGAACTGTACCGGCCATAATAATGTAAAATCAATCACTACATATGCTAAGCAAACTATTTAATATCGCATAGTTCGTTCCATTTCGGCAATCTAAGTAATGCACTTATGATTTAAAATTTATACCAATTTTAAGATCAACTGGATAAGCAGTTGCTAATAATAACGTAATTCCCGATTAAACTGATATTCTAGAATTTAAACGAAGTGATACAGTTTTGATCATCATGGCGTGCTTTAAAATACTCAGTAGATAAATGAGTACAGAGAATCGTCAGCCTAAAGTTCCCTGCTTCTAGAATTGCGTCCTAGACTTCGCTGTTTAAGTCGACTGGTTAGACTGAGGATATGCCGCCAGATTTCCACATAATTTTCGAGCTGTTGTCTTACCTCCGTGTGTTCGTGTACGACTCCACCCGACGTTTCTGATTCAAAAATCTATGCCATACGTGGCACCATATGACTGGCTTCGATCACATCGAGCAAACACATTATGGATTGAGGGCCACATATGTGCATTATCATATAGTTGTATATTTTTCTCTTCATATCCTGTAACATAAAAATTAACTGTACCAGATTGCACATTTCCGTAATCACTAGTGTCGGCTTTCATTTGTGCTTTTAATTTAATGACGACTTTACTTATTGCAATACATTTGCTGGGTTGATAAAATTCATTCAATTTACCTCAACACTAACGAAAATGCTTTCATGAACTGTGCAAAGATAGTTATACTCTTGGATCTAGCCGTATCAGTTCCGGAATTAATGGCATACAACTGCCTGTTATCTGCGAGAACAGATGAAACGGATGTGGATCATGAAAATTGACAAATGAAGATTCCGTAAATTACGCGAGCACCTAGACAACAACCACGAGCACACTGAGGCAGTGAGTGGCTGCCATGACGTCACCACCCGCAGCACTGCGAACCAGATAAAAGACAACTCAAAAGGACTTAAAGAAGTAGAGACGCAGATAGTTTAATGGACACAAAGTCACGAAGAGGAGCACATGTGATTTCAGACCATCATCTAGTTCAAGGAACCTTCAAAGATGCAATCTCTCATAACAGTTGGAGACAGGTCACAATTCAAGTCCAACATTCAGAAACTGAAGCATAAAACCACAACGGATGCCTTCACCACAGGTCAGATGAGAGAAAAGTCAGACACAATACATAATGTCACTGAGGAAACCTGTGTCGAAGAACATTGGATCTCTCAGAATGTGATGTTCAGGGAAACTTGTACAACTGTTCTAGGAACACAGAAAAGACACGAGAAGGAGTCGCTTTCAAAGGACACCTACCTGGAAGGAGAGGAGGATGGTGAAAGAGAAGATGACTCAGTGCAAAGATGGACAACAGAAGAAAAAGCTGAGTTCACAGCGATGTACGCTGCCCTGAATCAAGAAAGACGTGAAGAAGAGTGCCAGGAACGACAGAAGACAATTCTACGACACACTGGTCGGCAACTGCAGCAGAACAGGCAGGCTGCACGTGAAAGAGACCTCAGTCAACCAGGTCTCTATTTGGAAAGAGGTCAACCCAGATGATGAAACCAATAAAAGATGCTCAACAGAACCTGATTACCAGAGAGGAGGGACGAATAAAACAATGGGCTGATCACTTTAAAGGAATCACACACAAATCATCCAGAAATACACCACCAACAACAGCACTCATACAACTGCCTTACAGTGGTCACTAATCCTCCAACGAAAGCGGAAATCCTGAATGCGGGCTACTGAAGTCCAGTACGGAAAGTAGCAGGACCACACTTAATTCTCCCCCGCCCACACATCACCACCACCCAAAACACTGAAAATGGACCCAGAAACTGTGACAGATGTTCTCACGCCATTATTGCAGGAGGTTTGGAAGGAAGGGAAGGTGTCTGCCAATTGGAAGAAAGGCTGGTCACCTCGTCAAACTGCCAAAGAGAGGTGACTTGGGCCTCTACAAAAACTGGCGTGGAATAATGCTCTTGTCTTCGCCAAGTAAAACACTAAGTCACATCACCCTGGAGAGAATGAAAGATGCACTGGATACATAACTCCGCCCACTAGACGGAACAAGCTGGCTGGATACAGGAAAGGCAAATCATGTGTTGATGAAATTGCAAGTTTACGCATCGTCATCACACAACAAAATGTAGAATCACAGTCAAACCTGACCGTAACTCAACTTCATCGACTTCGAGAAGGCCTTCGACAGCGTTCACCGAGAAGTAAATATGACACTTCTTCAACACTATGGTGTGCAGTTCCCAAGTCTTTATTGACCTCATTCAACAGCTGGCTTCGTATTCCATCTGCGCTGACGATGTGCCCCAGCAATGTTACCACCGTTCTTATTGAACGTTGTCTGGCAGGCTTTACATTGGTTCCTAACTCCCTCAAACTCTCCAACGCCTTCCGCAGTCCTTCTATTTGTTATTCAATGGTTTGACTTAACACCGTGATGTTTGAATGTACCATGTAAACATTCGGAATTGTCTCCTTAAGTACCATTTGCATTGCTCGATTCGAAAGGCATGATCAGGAATTGACATAGCCCGTTAGATACAGTAAAAGCAGTCTTTAGGCAGTCGTAGGTGTACACTTCAATCCGCCAATATCCCAACGCCAAATCAAGGGTTATAAACCAGGACACTCCTTGTAGCGCTGTTGGCCTTTGATTGATTCGCGGTGAGGAGTAGTCTTCTCTGCGTGTCACCGCTATTAACCTCCTAAAATCGGCACACTAACGGAAGGATTCGCTCTTATTTCAACCAACACTATAGGAGAAGCCCACGGTTAATTAAATGGTCTTCAGCCATGCTTTCAAGCCGAGCGAACTACTCAGATGGAACTCAGCGAAGTAATTGTGTTATCGGAGCACGAATGGGTTTTGTTATTCTCAGGTCACCCGGTGACCACAAGACTACCTTGGAAAAATCTGACATTAGCTGACGTGCTCCCTAGGGATTTATATCAACATTTTTTCCGCTAAAGTCATACCAGCTGCACTGCAGATGTGGTTAACTGTCTAACTCGAAGCCCAATGTAGAACCTGGAACAGTCAGCGAGTGAGATTGAATATTGACTGATACTTTGCGGCCAAGTAGAAGATGACAGCCCACAAGTGAGTTCCATGAAAGTCTATTAACCTCCGAACAAGGATGCCGCATTCAATCGTTTCTATATTCTCACAAGGTTCCCAGCCTCCCTGATTGCTTCTATTCCTGGTCCAGTAGCCCCTTGAATTCTTAAATGATGAGTGGCTTTCACTAGTTTGTTGCTACAAACGTGCGAGGCGTACCTATATCTGCCGAGTCAGAAAGCTTTATTCTTCGGAGTTCTGCTAAAATTGTCGATAGGCGGTTAACTGGACATGGGCCCTCTAATGTCTGCATAACAATCGATACAACATACAGGGACTGACCGTTTTTACTGAAGACCCGAAAGTTCATCAGGTCTACCATTGGATGCAGTTGTTTTAAAGGATACCTTGAGTTGTTGTTGGGTCTAGCATACTCCTGACCCTTTGATTTTCTACGCGTGGGTGTTCTTTCTCTATGCCGATCAGATAATGTTGGTTTACTCGAAGTTGACAATGTAAACGTCCACTCATTCCCTAAATGAGCCCTGCTTAACTTTTTTAGTAAATCTTTCTTCCCTAGCAGCCCTCAGAGCCTAGGTTGGCAAGTTCAAGTTGCACTCAATGGCTGTCTCCTTCACTTTGCTGAGTAGTCACCATGTTGAAAACTGACGCACACTACTCAGACTGACCACCTCAGGCGAGTCAACGTCAAATTCTACACCCATTAGTTGTTAGGAATACGATAAATATTCCTTGATGGTTTCATACTGGCGCTGACCTCAGGCATCAAACGCGGCCTCGTGATCAACCATAAACCTTTTTGGAGCAAATGCTCAAGTCATGAACCTAAAATACCTATATAATATGAGTCTGAAATAGTAATGCATGCTACATACCCACTGGCTTCAAAGGCCGTCGACCCTATAGTACTTCAATTTTGTGCGGCTGACAGAAGACCAATAGATGCAACACAGAATTCAGTGAACTGCAGCTGACTGAAAAGTACCAGAAGACGCATCGGCAAAATGCAAACTGTTTATTCTTGCACTGACAGAAAACCGGCACGATAAAACAATTGCAGCAAAAATAGTCACAGCAGCAAAAGTTACAGCTTTAGGGCTTTGCGAGTCAGAACGTTGACAGACTCAAATGTAAGATATTTACAATCTACTAATAAATATCAGTACGGTTTACCAATGGTATTTCTGATCGTCCTGCTCCGGTCCTCTACTAAGCGGGAAGAAACTGGACAACCGTAAAGATCGTAACCTGCAACGGAAACGAAACCGGTTTGAAAGTGCTAAGTCATCACACATGCATTCAATATTCACGACAATGATCCCGGCCATTTTCAGACATTTCAAACAAAGCAGCTAGTGAGAGCATATTACAGCACTAGTTCTTTGTTACTCATTTATATGTCGTACGTATCGCCAGCAGTTCTCCTGCAATAGTGTGAATGTTTCATCTAGTTCGCTCTTGCCAGATGCTTTCAGCTTGCTAGTCAGCGGACGTTAT